AAGAAAAGCCACTTAATATTTGTTTTTTTAGAGAATTAGCAAAATACCTATATATACAGCACTGGGAGGAAATCAAAGCCTGGAGTTTCAGGGCAGTGTAACGAGTATCAGAAACACAAGATGGACTGGGCTATAAAATAAATGCAAGTATCATAGGAAGTATCATATAGGTCCAGTTTTAATGTGGCTAGGAAAATTTGTGGTAGCTTTTTGGATAAGAATGGATGTTCTCACAACGGCTGGGAACCAGTTCAGACATATGCCTGAGATAATATAATATGGGACATTTTCAGGTCATCATTGTGTCCCAAGCTTGTCTTAGGAATGTCTGAGAGAGTATTTTCCTTTGGTAGGCTTTCTGTTGTCCTCACTGGGTTTTGAGCATTGGTTCTTTCCAGAGGTGGAAGGTTCAGGTCCAGAAAGTAAAAATCCAGATCAAGATTTTGTTTCAACCAACCAGTTGAGTATTCTGTGACTGAGACTCTTTATACTCAACTGGATGGTTTAAACAAAATCTTGGTCTGGATTTCTATTTTCTGGTCCTGGACTGTCCACCTCTGGTTCTTTCATCATCATGTGGCAAGGGCACTATTTAGGAAGCACGCAGGCATAGTGCATAAACACACGGTGCAAACTAATATTCTTTCATTTTGGATAGACATCTGGTTGAATTCTATTTTTATGGCACCCTTGAGTGGCTTTTCCATCGCATCGCCACGCAGTGATGAAACCGTCTCTTGAGTCCCTGTTATGAATAACTGATGGCCAACACAACGGAAGAGCCGGCACAGCTGCTGAGGAGTAAAGGAGAGCTCAGTATCGCAGTCAAGGTGGACATCAGGGACACAAGCAAACATCAAGGTCTGATGTCTTTTCGCACATCTCTGTACGTAATTTGCCAATCAAGAGCTGTTCTAGGAAGAGTGAAAGAAGACATCAATAGCCAGTTTCCCAGTCAAGGATTAAGCCTAAGCCTAGACTAGCTTTGAGTTTCAATGGTGAATCTCCATTGATACTGCAATTTAGTCCAAGACTAGGCTTAATCCTTGTTTGGGAAACTGGCCCCAAGACTACCTCAAAGACAAAACAATAGTACAAACAATGTCCGGCGTACAAGAAGACATACTTCATTGTCATTGAGACAAGTTCTGGTACAAAGGAATTCTTTGGCTTTTGAATGATAATAAGAGGCAGAGACACACATATATATTCTGTACAGGTGAGAGCAAGTTCTGGGGTCAATGCGTAGGGTCAGCCAGCATGCAGTGCCCCGGAGCTGGGGGTTAATATGGAACCATCTGTATCCCAAAGAATGTAAGCCCACATCTGCCTCTGGCTTGCCCACGGCATACCATTTAACAGGCCTGTTCCCATGTGCCCTGTTCCACTGCTGATTCTGTTGCCCAGCAGAGTAACCTCTTCATACTGTATTCAGAGTCATCCCCTAAACCAGGGTTCCCGAATCTTTCCAACCATAAGGCCCGACCAGCTATTTATCATCTATCATGTCAGTGGCCCAGGGGTTGCAGGTTGTGGGGGGGGTGGGTGGGGGTGCCGCGGACAATGCTGGCAGCCCATTTATCTACCTTGGCAACAGGAGTTAAATGAATACCACAAATGCTTAAATAGTGAGCATTCACAAAACATCTCATGTTTAATTTAACACATGTTCGGTGCAATAGATGGGATTCCCCAAATGACCTGGAATAAGAAATATTGTTTTATACCATCAACAGCAAGAGCCATGCAAGGCTGGGAGTCTTGTGTCTTACTGTGATTAGATGTGTGTTACTTTGTGACTAGATGGTCACCTCATTCTTTGCCAGTTAGCTGTCACATTACACTTCAATATAGTGTCATCCAGTAGGACAAGGTGGTAAATTCATTATAGCTGGAAATTACCAGGAGAAACAAAAAAAAAATTAAGAATACAAACAGCAACAAGGTGTGAACAAAGTGTTTATATAATCAGAATCTCTGGCTAATAACTGGAAAGAATTGATTACTAATTGGCCTGAAATGGCCATTATCTGTGTAAAAGCTGGCGGACCAAGGGATTTCTCTTGCTTAAGATGTCTCTAAGGTTTTTCTTCTGAATTTTAATGCCACCCCTTTCATTCGTGGAGGACCACAGTGCCTTGCTTCGCCTTTTTAAGCTAGCTGCCTTCTCAGTGGCTTGGCTGTATAATACGTCTCCCCAGCCATCAGCCCTTCTCTCAAAGAGGGTTTTGTTATCATTAAAATAGAACCTAGGGAAAATAGGAAGCCTAGCCCCTTTTTCGGCCTGGTAATTCAGGGCCCTACTTGAGTCTTTATGGAACCTTAGAGCAACTGAGAAGAATTTGTCTTGAATGAGGCTCTGTTTTGTTCAGTCCTATTGATGATTTAATTTAGAATCTTAATCTACCAGTGTATTTCCTGTCACTAAGCTACTGAAAAACATTTTTTTTTCTGCAGATAATTGAAGGGACATGGTGTGTGTAAGATGCATCTGCCTGTGGATAAGTTAACATACAAATGAATAGCAAAATCTATGTATCATGCCGAGTTTAACTGAATCGAGAGCTATTATGAGAATGATAATGGTCGTCAGAATTGGTCATGGAGCAAAGGCCAAGCCAGAACGCTATTGCTGGAACAGATTCTGTGTTGTTCTACGTTAATGTTTTCCTCTCATCTATGAAGGATCATGTGAGAATGTAAAAAAGATTCTTTTATGCACTCATCCATCTGAACAATTTCACAGATTTATTAAAATTAAATTTAAAACATCATATGAATGCCTTTATTGGAGTTTCCTTCGAGAGCACTGGGAAATGGCAATTTCTCTTTTTTAGAGAATATTCTGGATGGAGACTGTATAATTATGCACAGTCTGTAAGCAGAACATACAAGCTCACCTGTCTCTGATGCATCCAAGATAAATCAATCCATCCACCAGCCTTGTTCTCCTCAGGGTGGTGGGGATCCTAGACAACATTGATATTTCTTAAAATGTTAAAAAAAAAGACTGTGCACAATAAACCTGTACAGATGCTGCACTGCTGCTAAGCTAATATATGTCTGTGATTTTTCTAGTCAGTAAAAAGCTAGATAAACTGGGGAGCAATTAAACTGACATATCGCTTATATTGGCTCATTTTTCATTCTGCTTGTACATTTGAGGATTGTAATACTTCTTACACCTTTCCTCATAATTGACTCTTTTGTGCTATAGGGCACACTTAAACATGTACAGACTTTTATGTCACATTCCCCAGAAAACAGTAAACACTGCTCTGTGGCAGACAGATATTAGGATGAGAAAATATATTTGTTCCTCTGCTTTCCTGGGGTTGGACAGCACCTTAGGGATAACAATCCATAATCCAAGATCCTCAGAAACAACAGGCAACCATAACTATATAGCACTGTCTGTTCCTCCATGACATCTTGTTTGTTTTTAATGAAATGTGTTGGAAATGATGGAAAGCAAGTGGCGATCTGGTCACGAGCAGCATCTGTGATTACAAATTCAATCCACTTCCTGGGTATATTTTACACAGGCACTCAGAGGCTGCAGGAGGCAGAGTGGCCAGAGGCAGACATGGCTAACTAAAAAGTTTGATCTATGGAATCCCACACTACACACAGCAGGGGCCTGTATCACAAAGCAAGCTTTCTTCCTTAGCTGGACAAATTGTTGGATTTCAAGTAAAGTAGTCTGGGCTAGATGTAAGTTCATTTAGACTGGAGTATCTTAAATCCAACAAGTTATCCTGCTTTGTGATACAGGTCACTGTTGTAGCATATAAACCATAACCTAAATATTTCCAAGAGATATCAAATTTGTGGACGTATAAAAACTGTAGATTTCAATATAAGCATCTGCTGGGCACATTTAAAGATGATTCTTTTATATGTTATGATGTGACCTACTGCATCTTATTATGAAAGCCAGACCAGTAGAGTGTTTTCCAGGGTGAGGGGACAGTAACTGTCTCATTATTACCACGGTCAGTAAAGCCCAACTAGATGCAGTCCTTGGGTCCTTGGCTTGTTGGTGTTTGATTGCCATAAACTTTGATTTAGTTTCCATGAATGCTGACGAATTAAGTGTCCAGAGAAGTTACTGACGTACATGGCTATTTTATTCAGTTTACATATCGCATTGCCTGAGATTGAGGGGCAAAATGCAAAAATGTTTAAAATACACTTGTAAAATTCTATTTATAACAACTATATTAGTTTTTCTGCTGTGTGTACTGCGTAGTTTATAAATTTGCAAAGAATCTTTTATGTGATCACTGGATTCCTCAACTGTGTTCTGAGTTAAATTAAAACACGTTCTAAGTGTTTTAGAAATTTGCCCTGGACTGGGCGTGGCTGAGGCGTCACTGGTAAGAAATATGATCCACGTGGCTTACTCAGCTATGTTGGTTTTATTCAGTGTTTACGGGAAGCAGAGCTTCTGACTTGTAGGTGTGTGGTCTGTTATGTGTAATTATCTAAATATAGAAATACAACTTGTGTTTCAACTGGTTTCTTCGAGTCGAAGTAGAAAAGTATTCGACTGAGGGTTCCTAAAAAGAATAACGAATGTAGCTTAATTATATGAATGCATTTCGAAAGGTGTGATCTGCTTAAGCGAGCTACAACTGAAAGCATTTAAATGCTAAACTGACGTACTAATAACCACATTCCAAAAATTCATAGGTGCGGTTCTAGCTCCTCCCAAGTTATGGGAGATTAAATGTAAAACATGTATATTTCTTAGCAATGGTCTTTAGGTCATACACGCTGATATGGCTTTAAGCCAATGGGGCTTTACCATCGCAGACTGTATGATTGACGTCTTTGACATCCATTTATGTTCGTGCAAAAAAATTAAAAAAAAAAGCCTGTCATATTCTTGATTGACGTAACCAGAAGTCCAATCATATAGCATGATATCGAAGCTGGAGTCCAATAGTAATCGCGATTGGGGTTTAGGGGCGGAGATGTTTCTTAGCGGCATTTGGACGATGCGGCTAGTTTTGTGTCTGTGGGTAACCAGTTGTGTGTGGAAGTGAGACGAGAGCACGGATTGGATTGGTGTTCTTGTGTGATTTTTGATATTTTCCACCAATAATTGCATTGCTAACGAGCTGAAAAAAAGAAGAAAGAAGAAGGCTCGTATTTGGATTATTGCCTTTATATGAGGGCAAATAAAAATGGGGCGGCGAACATGTGGAATCGATCCTTGGTGAATTAACAATGTTTACTTAAGTATCCATTCTTTATTACTGGCTATTATATTCTGAGGATTTTTTTAATTGCCGTGGGAGGCGAGTTGTCGCGGCTTGAAAGGATGGATCAGGCACGTATCCTGAGGAAGTTCATTCAGGAGGTTGGAGCCATGCTAGCCGGGGACCAAAGAGGAGAGGATAACTTCGGCGGCGACTTCATGGTGAGAGCGGACGCCCCGATCTTAGGCAGGCGGCTGTAGCTCGGCACCCAGATAACAGCCGATGTGTGATTCGTGGTAGCTGGAGCTGTGTCGCCGGCTTAATCCTGGCATTACCACTGTCTGCCGGCGATTTCGGCGTAGCTAAGATGACAGCTCCTGCTCGGATTGTACTGATGCTTCCTTTCCTAGAGAAATCGCCTTACCCTGGGAAGCTGCTGTACAGATGCCCGCTCTTGCCTTTCTTACACATTTCTGCCTCCAGGCTGGAACGCGGCCTAACATGGATTCCTAAATAAATACCGTGGGATACTCCCTCCGTCCCCATTCTCCCGGTACTAAGTTGTACGGGACCAAGAAATCTTCGTTTCGGCACTTTGTGACCATCCGGGACAGACGCTTACAATGCGGAGAAAAGCCCCGCCGCCGGTGGGCTGGGTAGCTCCACATTCCTTGCAGTCGGGTCCCGGTGATCACCTTGTTCAGCGGCGTATTTTTGTCGGTGGACCGAGATTTTCAAGTAGGACTAAGGTGGCTCGAAATCAGTCTGGAATTTAAAATAGATATTTGCCGTGTAGCTGAATAGCCTCAGCGGCTTATGCATGTCGCTGGAGGGCTGCTAAGCCCTTACTGGCGTAGGACTACACCCGACACCATGCAAATGCGTTTTTTACCACCCAGTTGTCAACCTGTTTCTATAATCGATAGATGCAAGTTACTGATCATAGCCAGACAATGTCCTGAGAGATACGGGAGCTGTCCTGCCTTACAAGCTGTCCCGGTGGACTTATGTTTGCGGGGTTGTCCTGTGAGTTTTGCTAGGGTACTGTGTGGCAGACCAGAAGCAACTTTATTTCAACAATTACTCACGCCTCGCGTGCTAGAATTTTAATGGTGGTGGTTTAAATGACACTTTGGATACATGCATTTCGGGCTGCTCGTTGTAATACGACATATCTCTTTTTTTCATGCTAATTTGATCTATGTACTCAGCATTGCAAAATGTTCTGACAGCCCCTCTCCTTGATCATAGGGGTGCAGTTGATCAGCGCCGTGTTTTCAGTTTTAGGTTATCCGTTAGTGAATAAACTTCGGCGCGCACGATGTCGCCTGCGCGCTCCCGAGGTGAGGCGGAGTGATTGAGTTACAGTTAGCTGTCAGGAGCGGGAGGCTTTAACGAAAGGTGGGGTGTTTGCGGATGTTGCGCAACATTCCGGGGCGTTGGAGTCACAGCGAACTGGGATATGGGAGAGGAAGTGGTTTCGGGATTTGGGAAGTGCGCTGTGCTCTTTCCCCTCCGTCGCCATCGGACTTTGAAACGCACACGTGTGGCGTGAATTCGGCTTCGCCAGTCCTAAGCCCTTTCCCCCTTTTTCTTTCTCATTACCGTGTGCCAGCTCTATGATCATGCTCCTTCAATCCACTCCATCTTCCCATGTCGATTTACTGACGATCTCCTTACACAGGCATACAGAAACATGCCCCCGAGCTGCGGCTAACTGGATATTTCACTTTATTTCCCTATTAAAATCCTAAGCAGTATCTGCTGGAGGGAGACGCGGCAGACGCCAGGATTTTTCCGTCTGCATGCTTAATGTGATCTTGGCGTGAAGCCCCACTGCGCCGCGCCGCCTTCATGCTGACGCCCCCCGGTGAAACGGAATCCGAGAGCCGGCGATTCGTCCCAATGATATGGAGGGAGGCTTCTTAATGCCGATCATTATCGTTTTCCACCCCCTCTTCATCTCGGCATGAACTCCTCACCCCGGTGACCACAATTATGGCTCCATGACCTACTTGGTGAAATTCAGTTCTAGTTTTTTAATTTTTAGTTTTGGGTTTTATTTTTTGTCAAACTTCACATTACGCAAAGCATATATCGGAAAGTTTTCAAAATGGCTTCAGATTTTAGAATTTCCCAACATGATTGGTACTCCGGGTTTACTAATGTGTTATTAAAATGCTTGGCATAACCTTAGGTTACATTTCAACGAAAGTGTGGGAGGAATTTAAAATTTTGTTTGCTGGGGCATGCTTGCATGGCCGTTTGCCTCAGCATGGTGTAATCAGTGAGGGAGCAGACTCGTCTGACTCCTTTGCTCTGTTTCTTATATGTGTTGAACTTATCTCCAGTTAGGCCCTGGATGTTCAAGTGGATCAGAGTCTGAAGCAGGGGGAGGAAGGGGAGGGGGGAGGACGCAAATATCGCAGATATCCTGGCTGTGACGCCACACTTCCCCTGAACCCTAGAGTCACAAGGGAGGAAATGAACAAAACAGCCATCTGCCCATAAAGACATGCTTTGGTATTTCTTCTTTCCTCTTTTTTTTTGGGCAGAGTTTTTGATGCATGCTGGGGTGGGGTCTGCTCAGGTCACCTGGGGCTTTACCTCGCAGGTGAATTCCCAGTTAAGGAGGCTTTGGCCTTGGGGCATTGTTAAGCATGTGAAAGTTCAGTTACACGTCGATCGGTATGGGGAAACCTGCTCTACAGCCTCTGCCTGCTGCATCTGGTTTGTGTGACATAAATGTGCAGCTCACAGCACTCTTCAGGTGCTTTCCCACCAAAGTTCAGGAACCTAGTTCCTGGGCTCTCTCGACCGGGAACTTCTGTAGTTCCAGGCCATTTTCCCACCACACAACAGGAACTGTGACCTTTATGCTAAATAAGCATAGGAGACGCAAAAGCACATAGGTTAAACTTCACAAGTACTTTCATACAAACTATGCTGCCGCACCAAAACAATGGATGATGAAAAAGTTGTTTTGCTAGTTATTGGGGGGAGCGATCCTGCGGTCTGAAAATAGGGGACAAATTCCATTATATTTATACGGCCTGCAACATGTTTATAATTCATATATATATGAATATCTGACCAGCAGATCGATCTTATGTTTTCCACAGAATAAAAAAAGATGTAATGTTATTCCACTAATAAATGCTACCAGTTTCATTGCTGGCACTGGCGATATTAGACAGAAATACATCGATTACCGATTGGCACAAGCAAAAAAAAGTATTCATTAAAGCTTTTAATGTAATTGAGATACTTCCATATGCTCAGTTTTTGCTCCACTGCTTCTCTTTTCCTCACCCTTTTGCGTAACTTTCAAGTTTGCGCTGGTGCTTGTGATCAACCAATCAAGTTTATCACTGTTTGCCTCACCCACCAGTTCTTGGTTGAGCAAAAAGTACCTACTCTGAAGTAGGGACTAAAAAAGATTCAGGAACTACTTCCTAAGAACTACGGGCTGACTTCCTGCAGTGTGAATGCAGCAGAAGTTCCTGGTTCCTGAAAAAAAGTTCTGCTTTGGGACAGCACATTATGAGTCTGTCTGATGGTCTGTCTGCGTGTGCATTCAGGATTCACAGGGTGAATTGATATGGAACATGAAGCACTTCCAACCCCTTGAGATCTCCACCACTCTGTCCACAAATGAAACCCCCAGCCTGGTTCAGGGTGTTCAGGAGGCCCCTCAACACATTCACAGCCGACTCTCCCTGTAATGGGGGAAGATTCTTCATAATATTAGCATGACACGATTGTTCTCCGGACCGTGTCAGAGGGCTGTACCCGTCTGAGTCTCACCAGGTATGCTGCTGTTCTCGCTCAACTCTAACAAGTGGTTTTGGCAGTTCAGTCGTTCAGGTCGCCTCAGCACTGCTGGCCCCTGAAACCTCAGCCGGATTCTTGTTTACCTATATGTGTCGGCAATGAGCCGTGATGCTGCGTATGGGTTTTAGTGAATCTGAGGGTGTTTGTGCAACATCTGTTCATACAAAGTTAAACCTTTTGGTAGCCTTGGGTCAGTATATTCGAGCAACAGATCCGAACAGCGGTTAAACAGCAGCTAATTAGTCTGCCTGGTAGTTTCCCAGTGTGCCTTTAGATATGAACTGCTGTGTATGAACATAACAGACAAACTCAAAAGCTTCTGTTTTCCTTTGATGTGGATTTTCAGCTTTGAGTATCTTGCAAACTCAGTTTCAGTTTCAGCCATGCCTCATTTGCTTCATTTGTTCTTCCTTTGTTTTTGACCTGTTCACATCTCTGTAGTGTGAAATTACCCAGTATTTACCATTCAAATTCAGCCGTGAATCAAATCACCATGTTTATCTAATGCCGTTTACCTGTTTTACATGCCTGCTTAAGCAAAATGTAGCTGAATAGAACTTACCGATAGACTGTATTTACTGGGAAAGGCAAATCAATAGTTAACATTCTGGTTAACTTGCCAAAAATTCACTACTGGTACATTGACAGTTCACTCATTTAAAATGTAAGAACGAAGAACGAATTTCACAAAACATGAATTTCTAGAGCATTTTTACCAAACATCCATGACAACATGTACTTAAAATTAGCAGCAGCATCATAATCAGATTCTCTTACACTCACAAACTGCCAGGGGACTCTAAGCAGTGCTGACGACTCACTTGCCTTTGCTCTGTATCATTTCTGTGGAATCCAAAATATTTCTGTGCAACAAAAAATATTTCTCGTTCTCTTGTTTGCTTCACTCGTTTTCGTTAAATGATTTTCACAAATGTGCCATACTGCGAGTGAGCAAGGATGAAAATGATTATGATAGGCTTGGCGAGCGTTTGCTAAGCAGACTTATTAGAGAACAGATAAATCACTACTAATTATATTGCATATAGATCATATTTAAAATAGCTCATTTATTATTCGATTTAAAAAAAAAAAAGTCACTTTTTTATTCACGAACGTGAATATTCGACAGTGCTGACTCATCCCTGGCGGCTACATTTCAGACCTGGGACATTATGGTGCAGTGAGCTAAACCCCTGTAATGTGTGTTTATATGTGGTCTGTCTTCTGCTGACTTGTCACTCTATTGCACACTGTTGCAGTTTAGTGGCCTTTTATCGCTTGCTTGTAACAGTTTCCCGAGCTTCCTTGTCTCTTCCTAACTGCTTCAGGATGACTCCCTTTGTGGAGGCCTTGTTGAACAATGTATTCTTTCCGGGAAGCTTGTACACATCGGCATTTTTCCGAGTGGGATTTGCTCACAGGAATTCCTGCTCGGTGACTAATCAGATGTTTACCCTGTTTTTTTTGTTTTTTTTTTTTAATTTTTTGTTTGTGGCAGGTTTTTTCTCGGGATCAAAGCTGACCTAGAACATTCCCCGAGTCAGTCTGGCTGCAGCAGATCATAATGCACAGGAAATGATGTAAGAATGAGGTCACTGCACAGGAACAGAGCTCAGCTCTGTGTGCGGGGGAGTGCGTGCCTGTTTGAAATCTCTTTTGTTGCGTATTTTTTGCGTAGGGTGAGTAGTTCCCGTGTTTGGGAACTTGGCTTCTGTTAGTTTGAACATGCTGTTCATGCCTCTTTGTTAGAGTGACAGAAGCTTCAAATTTCAAGTGTTTGTGTGATGAAGGGCTTGTTCTTAAATCCTAAGGATGTACAGTCGAGGCTTAGGGTCTCTCTGTCAATATGGAGAGGAGAGGGGTTATAAAATGGCTTTTGGGCTCCACTCGTCCTGCCTTTGGGCATGAAATGGAGCTGAGCTCTGGGAGCAGAGGACTGTCCTTGATGAATCATCCTGTGGCCCAGGGAGTGAGAGGAGCAGAGATTGGCCCCTACCCCCATCCTGCGCCTTTACCCGCCCCCTCGCTGCTGCGCCGCCTCTTTCTGTGCCTGTGTTCAGGTGATTATTTTTGATGATACGGGACGATACTGAAATAGGAGCGTGCTGACCTAGTTGGTCCAGTGCTGATGCTGTATGACGGGCTACCAGCTGCAGCATGTGAAGAGCCACTTATCCAGGGTCTCTTGATTCCCCTCTTGGTTTCCTGTCCTTATTCCTTAAGGCTGGTCCTTGGGGACCTACAGACAGTTTACGTTTTGGGAGCTGGGAGGGAGCAAAAACATGGACCGACTGTGGGTCCCCGAGGACCGGATTTGGAAGCACTGCTTTAAGGTATTCTGCACGACTTGAAGGTACAGCCTCCCGGTCACCTCCTGGTGACTTCCTGGTGACTTCCTGGTGACTTCCTGGTCACCTCCTTAACTTCTCACCCACCTGCTGGCTGGAACTTCCTGGTTCTATAGTGGCTCTTAGATGGGGCGGAAGCTCCACCCCCCCCCCCCTAAACCTGCCTGCTGTACGTCATGTGGGATGTGTGATGGAAGCACCTGGGCCCTCTAACAGCTTCACCACCAGTGACGACAAAGGGATTGTGTGTATTTGTCTGAAGGTGAGCGTGTGTGTGTGTGTGTGTGTGTGTGTGTGTGTGTGTGTGCGCGCACGTGCGCGGTCCTGCCTCCTGAACGCGACCTCTCTGCACCCTGTGATTAGCATGCTGCCCATGTGCACATTTTCTGTTTATGGAGCTACATCTTTCCCTCCTACCTACTGAACCATGACTACAGAACTACAGAAGCCCTCTGTGCATTGGCTGACACTCTTGGGGGGGTGGGGGGTGGGCAGGGTGTGTTTGTTTGTTCCCTTAAGAATGCTCTGTTTCTCAGTACTAAAAACACAGTACTTCTCAGAATTCTGAGCCCAAGCATTCGAGGCACTTCCTTTAAGGGTGTTTCTTGTGGGGATTGTCCTCAGGCTGCTAGTTCTTCGGGGTGAGGGTCTCCACGCTCTGATCCAGGCCAGTCTACAGGGGATTCTTCTCCTTCTCCCACCATCCAGTCTACTTTTGGTTGCAGGAAATGGGCTACATCAGGGGTGGGACAGTCTGAATAACCAGTTAGTCCGCTGAGCTTCTCCCAGTGTTCCTTATAGCATAGGTAGCAGTGCTTCCCATTATCTGTGACAGAAGCCTTCAGGCTCCACTCCGTGGAGAATCTCAGTGGCTTCTGGGTAGATGTAAGCAACCCCACCCCTTTAGGTCTGTTGCATCCACATCTTATAATGGTGATCTCCATCCAATGGGGTGGGCTTATGTCAGAAGGGTGGGTGGAGGGTGTGGTGCTCCTTTTCTGAATGGGACAGTGAGGGATACGCTGTGAGCTCAGGCTGCACAATTTAGGGAAAATATCTAATTGTGATTTTACTGACAGATATTGTGATTGCGATTTGTTTTGCGATATTTTATGGATTTCTGGACACTAAGAACAGTTCCTGGTCATAAGATTCAATGGACTCTGTTCCCAGATTATGTCGTACTCTTTATCCGCAACAATTTACTATAACTTTAAGGCAAAATAGCATAATATTATTGCTTTATGGTCATTTATTTGCCAAAAATGTAATGGGCTGCTAGTCATCGGAATATGGTAAAGTGTATTTTTTTTTTTACAGTTACTAAAGTAACAGTTTCCTGATAGTCCCATATACGCAAGTATTACATTAGTACAGAACAATCAAACATGAAACTATCACAAAAACTGACTGTGTTAAGTTAAATAAAGTAATAATGAAAATAAAACAACTACAGAAAGAAAAAGGCAATATGGATCCTGCAGCTCTTGCTGCTTGAACCTGTAATAAATGGGACCTTTTTTATAAACAATCTCTGACCAAATAGGTCAGAAAGTGTATGTGGGTTTTCGCTGCAATTCCCTAGTTAGATTACTAATTAGAGGACTGATTGGCTGTAGAATCCTCACACCTGGGTTTGAACAGCTGACCTAAAGGTTATTCCAAAAACCTGCACACACGCCGACCCTTTTCTGATAAGATTGCCCACCCCTGATGTAGGTTATTCCCTTAGAGCTCGGCAGCAATATTTTTTTGCACCGCAAATGTAACGTTTTTCTTACGTTTCACGTGTTTGTCATTTATGGGTCTATCCACAATAGCCTTGGGCCACTTCTGTTTGGTGAGCATGACTGTCACGCCAGGAGCACGGCACTTTTGATCGGTGAGAGACTGTCACACGGACGATGACATGCGTTTGCAAAACTATTCTCGCAAAAGTTTTAAACCCTGGGTCACATCCTAAATCGCAGCCTTTGTGATTTGCTAATTGCGTTGTTTCAAATCACAATTACGATTCGAAATCGATAAATCATTCGGCTCCATCGTGTAACTGAATTTAGTGATGGCAAGATGGGGATTATGGGTAATGATGCTTATAAAAACATATCTATATCTTCCTTATGAAAGAGGGCCCCTTATGGATGACATTGACAAGACTGTCACAAGTTCTTCTGAAGCATAGTGCAGCATGGTGGTCTTTGGGTGACCTGAACAGTGTACATGGCAGCTACTGGTGTGAAATGGTTGGTGGTGTTTTGCGTCATAGTTTGTTTTGACTCGTGGAATGACATGAATTGAGTGTGACGATCTGTACAGCTACTCAGACTTTCGTTACTGCGTTTTTTAGCGACATGGGGGCCGGTGTGTGAATTGAACAGTGGTGCTGAATTGCGATATTTCTCTTGGAGGGGGCTGCAGTCTTTCCCAGCTGGAGTTGCCTCACACAGATGTTTTATGTGTCTGTTGTCTTGGTCAGGAGCACGGAGGTCTGCGGGGGGGAGGGGGGGGGACTGAGGGGTCAGTGTGATTGCGGAGGTTTGTAAAAGCCGGCAGGCTTGTCACGGTCAGGTCCCACGGGGTCGCTAGCATGCGAACATGGGCGGTTGGGGGGAGGGGGGCCTGAAATGCTCCCGTCAGACATCCAGATGTGAGAATCCAGCTGCGAGCCGCATGGGATGTTGATGAGAACATTCAGAACCTGTGCTTGGTGCCATATAGGCCGATCTGAGTTGATTCTAGGGAGAGGGGGTGACGGGGGGGGGGGGGGTGATTATATTTGGGCTGAATGCCCTAACTGCTGTTTCCATAGCATAAGATGGGGTCCAGAATTTAACAACATATACTGAATAAATCAAGGTCTTCATTATTCAGTAGAATAATAATAATAACTAATTATTTTATTCCCCGCCAGAGCTGGGGAGTAGGATCTCATTACAGGATCATGTCCCATACAAATGTCTACCCCTCAAGAAGTGATGCGGTAATTAAGGTGGGTGGGCGGGGGTCCTGTGGGGCTGAAGGGGAGAGCTTTAATCCCTCCCCCCTCCTCCACACACACAAAGCCATGAGGGGAGGTGGCACTGCTGCTGTAGTGACAAGGCCAGAGATAAACCCCCCCCCCCCACCTGACATGGGGGATGGTGGGGCAGGTCACTAACAAGCTATTAGCAGTGGTATCGATTGGCGTCAGCCGGTTCTGGAAAACCTCCACTCACTGTCCGCTCTGCTCCCTCGCTTCCGCACAGAAACTGCGAAGATTATCCGCCAAGTACAGGACGGAAAAGATTTTTTCCACCAACGCTGGAGAAAAAGAAGAGAATGTGAGAAAGAACCGATACAAGGACATTCTGCCATGTAAGCATCAACAGAGGGGGGGGCGGCCCCCCGACGTGCTATTAGAATGCGCTGAATACGTTTGAAGTCATCATTTCTCAGCTGATTAACCACTTTAAACCTTGTTCTTATCTCTTACAGTTGACCACAGCAGGGTTAAGGTGTCGTTAAAAACCTCCAATCAAGACATGGATTACGTCAATGCCAACTTCATTAAGGTATGGGAGAGTCTCTCTGACATTCGTATGGGAATTTTACTAACACAAAAATGTTCTGCTGGCAGAAGGAAAAATGACTGGTTCAATCAATCAGATTGTAGTGGAGGTAGATCCAAACAATTAGAGGAGGTGGGACTAACCAATCAGATGTACCTGTCCTGCCTCCTCTAGTTGTTTGGATCCACCTCCTCTACAATCTGATTGGTTCATTGAGATAACCAATCATTTTTCCTTCTGCCCTCAGAACATTTTTGTGTAAGTAAAACTCCCACTGGGGCCCTGGGACACCTGGAGGGGTGCTGCCTCAAGCCGCCAAGACCCAATTGTGAGGCAGCTAAGGTTCTCTGAGCTGTCCTACGTCCGCATTCAGTCGCAGTGCTTTCAGCACTTTGGAGTTGAAAGGCAGCTTGGCCAGTGTCTAAGCCCTGGCAGCATGGATACTTCCATCCATCCATCGTCCAAGTGCTTATTTAGCAGGTTTTCCTGGAGCCTCTCCCAGGCAGGACAGTGCAGAAGGTAGGGGTACACCCTGGATGGGATGCCAGTCCACTGCAGGACATGGACTCTGCAGCAAATTAGAGATGCCTAACTGCACATCCTTGGACTGTAGGAGGAAAACCACATGACGCGTGGAGAGCATGCAAACTCCACACACGCATAGCAGCGGCAGGGTCTGAACGTGAAGCTCTGGAGGTGTGAGCTACCGCAGCGGAGATGCTTTCAGGATCTAAATGCAGGCCCCAGGGTGGTCAGACTTGCTGTCAGGTGCAGGCAGCAGATCCTGCACCTTCATTTTGGCTTCCTGGGGAACACCAGCTTTGAGCTGTGCTGTGGGCCTTCTGCCTCGCTGCCTCTTCAGTGGATGTTGATTCTCCTTCTGTGCCGTAGAAGTGAGATTAGCCAATAAAAACAGGGATCCAGGTTCCCTGGGTTCTCTGGCCTGTGCGATAGAGCTGATGCTGGGGGCGGAGCCAGCATATTGGTGGGAGGGTATTGCACTACATATCCCTGCCTTTGGACTAACCCCGTCTCTCTCTTGTTCACGGTGTCGTTGGCAGGGCACAGGGGGCTCCCGGGCCTATATTGCCACTCAGGGACCCCTGCCCAACACCATCCTGGACTTCTGGAGGATGAACTGGGAATACAAAGTGGCAGTGAGTGTCTGTGGGAGAGGCAAGCACATTCAAACCTGTGACGCCTCGCTCTACTCCCACGCTTTGTAATGAAGCTTTTCGCCTTTAAGGTTTAATACTTGTCTGATGTTTTATTCTCTGTGTCTTGCAGATTATCGTAATGGCGTGCCGAGAGTTTGAGATGGGAAGGGTGAGATCCTCTTACTTTACATCCTGTATATTGAGGATAAAACCTTCTTATTGCAAATGAAAGCTGCTATTTTCACCTGCAAGCCTCGTAGCTTAGAGCAAACTGGTGATCAAAGAAGCTTTATTCCACCGAACGGACCCAGTATTTGCATTATTTATTTGGAAGCTTATTCTGATGCTTAGTATCCTTTGTTTGTGATGCACAGAAAAAATGTGAGCGGTATTTCCCCCTGTTCGGCGATGACCCTTTAACCTTTGGACCATTCAAGATCTCCTGTGTAAGTTTTTTTTTTTTTTTTTTCCCCTGCCCGATGGGATCTGGCCTTCTTTCGCTCTCTGTTTTGCAGGCTTAAGACATATCAGCCGATTGCAGAAAGATTGCCTGCGATAGGCGTTCGTTGATTTCTTCCTCCTGCACTAAGTGAGCAGCTGCCGATTTGCAGTCCGTCACCTGCGTACCATCCTGGGCCCTTTAACAGGCTTTATTTTGATGGCCGTCAAACACAGCAGAGCTCCCTCGTCTGTCATTAAGGAACTAGATGCTGGGTCTGGATGTCTGGACTGCGATTTTATTCGCTATAAACCAAAACCCCTTTAGTGGTTTCCAAACAGTTTTGTGTTTCTAAAAAGAGTGACTTGGCCTGGTTCCAAGCCGCGGATGTGCGTTGCGGTGACTGTGCTGATCTGGCGTTATGTTCCTGTTTGTTCGAGTTGACCTCAAAAAGAACTTGATGCAATGTTTGTTTGCAGGAATCAGAACAGGCCAGAACTGACTACATCATCAGGACGCTGTCGGTGGAGTATCAGAACGTAAGCTGGGTCCCTCACCCTCACTCCCTAAAGCGTGTCGCATTCAAGGCATGTTCCTGTGCTTGCTGGGGGACTTCATCAGCCAATCGGGTTCTCTCCCTCTTTAAGGAGATGCGCAGGGTGACACAGTTTCACTACATCAACTGGCCCGACCACGACGTTCCGTCGTCGTTCGACTCCATCCTGGACATGATCGGGCTGATGAGGGAGTACCAGGAACACGAGGATGTGCCAATCTGCATTCACTGCAGGTGTGTGTGGCCAGCAGGGGGCGTGGCGGCTGAGGCTTGATCCTGCTGTTGTGTGTGCCTACCCACTGAAGGGTAACTGTGTCCCGTGTGTTCCAGCGCGGGCTGCGGTCGAACTGGAGCCATCTGTGCCATAGACTATACGTGGAACCTGCTGAAGGCCGGAGTAAGTCTGTCTGTCTGTCTGTCTCTCTCTCTCTCTCTCTCTCTCTCTCTCTCGCTCTCTCTCTCTCTCGCTCTCTGTCACGCTGTAGCTCACGTGCCATGCTCACCTGGGGCCCAAAACACCAAACGCTTTATTTTTATCTCCCATCACTTACAACTTCTAGAAAATTCCAGAAGACTTCGATGTGTTCCAGGTAATCCAGGAGATGAGGACACAGAGACATTCGGCTGTGCAGACCAAGGTCAGTTTAGCCCCTTTCATGGCGCTACAGCAAAGGTCTGGTGTTGCCACAATTCAGCATATTGACAGGGATATTGTAAAAAAATAATAATAAAATAAGTGTGAAATCCACAATCCAGCACCCGTATCCTAATCAGTAACCTAAAGTCTCTGTCCTCGTCCTCAGGAGCAGTATGAACTCGTCCACAGGGCCATTGCTCAGCTCTTCGAGCAGCGGTTGCATTTTCTCAAGACCCCCATCGACGCAGACGTCCCAGACGGCATGGTGGGTGCTCATTCGGGGCAAACATAACAGTGAGCTTCAGTGTCGATTTAAAAACAACAACAAAAAGAATCTGCCTGCAGGCTTCTCTCTTTCACTGAATGTCCTTCAGCCTTTGACATGTAGGTGAGTCAGTCTCATGGTGCCCAGAGTGTATCTACGGTGCAGCCTGAGAGCAGGAGACTTCATCCTCCTGCGAAGGTTTTTTTTTTCCAGAACTTTCCAGATTACAAACGAGTCATTTGGTAGAGGACAGGGCGATCCCGCGGGTTTCTGTCCCGAGGATGGGGGCCAGGGGTGCGTTTCTTATTGCGGCTGACATCGAAGCTTAATATGTGGCCCGTGAGTTTGCTGCGGAGGTATAGAGAGCCACCGTTCCCCATCTAGCTCCCTTTCTGGACCAAGAAAGGACTTCCTGTTTTGGGGGAAGGGGGGGGGGGGTCAACCTCACCCCGCTCGGCTCTGCGAGCTTCTCTGTAGAAGAAAAGCGGGATGTGCTCTGCTGGGAGGAGCTCTGTTACTTAGCAGGTCGTTTAAAAAACAAAAAAAACCCTCTGGGACTGGCATCTGGCCAGGAGCCGAGGCTCACGTCCTGTTTGGGAGCTTAGGGGCTGGTGACATCACTTAGCCTGTGTCTGAGAACCCGCACTCTGGGACAGGGAAACCCAGGCCACAGGCTTCCTCTGCTCCTGTACATCTGCTCTGTCGAGGCATGATGTGCACACACACACACACACAGGAACAGGCTTCTATGTCTCCAGCATTTCCAAACATACCTGGCGACCTATGCGGGTGCCAGCCTTACCGGAAGAGGGGATCTTGTCCTCATAATGTAAGGAAAGAAAAAAAAATGCATAGGGGGGGAAAAAAAAAATAAAGCCCAAACGACCGAGTCCATCTACCAAAAGTTCCCGTAGAGGATAAAAGGGGAAAGTCGCGCAGCTGTTACCAGATTTAATAGAGCGTTTCAGAGTTTGTGGGAGCTTTAATTTGAAACGCAGGAATGACCTCTGGTTGTTAACCTGAGGCGCAGAGGCGGCCTGCACTGTCCTTGTGCGATGGGGCTGCGTGATGTTTTGGAGAAGTAGGATGACAGAAACAGAGACGCTGCCAGACTGCGTCATGCTTCACGGCCGAGGAAGGGAATTGTGACTGTTCCCCTGAAACGGTCAAGCGGCTTTTACAGAGAAGCTAATCTCAGAGTGACGTGCATGCGCCCCTTCGCTTGCGTGGCCGGCATTGCTCTGAAATATTATTATTATTGGTATTTTTATTGGTTTATATTTTTAGTATTTAGGGTAAACTTTAGAGGTCAGACAACTGTGCAAGATGGTTCTGGAAATGTTGCGGATGGGTTTTTCAGTCCCTGCACCCCCACAGTGCGCAAATGTCCTTCCTTTGTGATTCTGCCTTTTTTAGTATGTTGGCCAAAAGGGAGAATTCGATTGAAGCTGACATGAAGGAAACTAAATTTGGATTTTTTTCCCTGGGAGCCCTTCCCTGGGATGCCATTGGAGGTTTTGCGTCACACGGCCCTGGGTGCCTCGGCGGGGTTAGCGGCCGCTATGTGTTAGCCGGGCCCACGGTCGCTGAGTCATAGCCAAGCCGAGCTCTGTTAACGTCTTTTTCTGCAGGGGTATTGGATGGGGGAGGGGGGGGGATTGAAAAAGGGGAAGCGTCTTTAAAGGCAGTTACACAATATGAGTGTGTGTGTATTTGTCTATTACAATTTAAAAGGAAAGTACATAGTTGCGAGACGCAGAATTGCTGAAAAATAGAGGAAGTGTGGTTAGGGGGTTAGGGGCCTTGATTAAGGGCGCAACTGCACACACACTCTGGCTCTGGGATTTGAACCAGCAACCTCACCAATTACAAGCACTGCGTCATAACCTGTAACCATTAACGGATTTGAATAGAGGCTTTATTTAGTTATTTATTTATTTTACCCAAATGCCCCCACCCCTCTCCTTCCCTCAGGATGAAGGCAGCCCGGAGAAAACGGGTCAGAACTCTGACGAAGAGAGCTGGGACTCTCCCCCGCCTAAGCCACCCCGTATCCGCAGGTAGGCCCCCGGCCGTGTCCTGCATCGCAATGCAGGCGCTCCTGGCTCTGCCCCACAGGAAGCGGAGCGGGGCCAGGCCGCCTTCAGTCGTTTTACATAACCCAGGGTCACGCGCATCAGTGCCCGGCTTGGCCTGGCTGCCAACTGGGTCACGCTGCTGAATGCTCCCTCTCTGGCTGAGGGTGGCATTGCATCCCAAAGGCACAATAATGCAGGGTCCCCTTATGTCTGAGGTTGTACTTTTCTCGTGTCACTGTGTTTCTGGCCCTCATTTGAGCTGCCACCTGTACTGTCTTTCCCCTGGGGTGTGGACATTTTGTACATTTATTCCTTAATAGCCTTTTCTAGGCACTGATGACTGCCACCTTGTGGCAATATGTGTTACTACAAAAGATTAGATGTTTGCACCGACAGACTGAAAGATTTTACGCAGTAGTAGCTTACAGGCTTGTTTGTTCAGGCTGGGATGCTCCGTAAATTACTGTATTTTTGTGCATTAAAAAGTTGTGCATATTGACTCTGAGGTCAGTAACACTTTCCGTCCATCTGTCCCGCAGTAGCTGCCAGATGGAGGGAGACGTGAAGGAGGAAATCCTGCAGGCCCCGGAGCCTCGGCCGGTCCCACCCATCCTCACCCCGTCTCCCCCCTCTGCCTTCCCCACCGTCACGGATGTGCGGCAGGACAACGACCGCTACCACCCCAAACCTTTGCTACATGTCATGTCGTCATCGTCGGGCCAGAGTCCTGACCTGAACGAGAACTACAGCAAGGGTCCCGGAGGTGTGGCCGGCCGCCGCGAGGAGGGGGTCCCTGGCTTTGAGGAGCGACCGGAGTGTGGGTCGGAGCCGCCGCTGTGGGAGGGCCCGCGGGTCTTTGAGGGGAACGGCACAGCGCAGGCTCTCAGCGCCGCACCATTGATCCCGGTCGCATCCGTGCCCGCACTCTCCCCGAGCCAGGACTCCCGGCCCGAGGGCGAGCCCGGCATCCTGGCCCGACCCAATCATCTCCCGCTCCGCGAGAAGGGGCAGGCGGCCTGGGGGGGCACGACCTCCGTAGAGAAGGCGCCTTCCCCAGCCCGGCAGGTCCACAGTAGCCCTCACAGGACTGCACTCTGCTTCACCAACCCGTTGCATGTGAATAACTCAGACTCTGAGGGCGAAGGTGTGAGGGTGACTTCTTCCTGCTCGTTGTCATCATCGTCATCGTCATCGTCCACCCCATCCCCCATCTCCTCCTCGACCGGCACCAAGGCGGCGCCCCATGGGAAGTCCACGGCCATCTCCACCGCCAGTGCTACTGTCACTGTCACAAGCCCGGGGGACCCAGTGCCTCAGCGGAAGGTCACCCCCATGTCCATCGCTGGACAGGAACTGCCCGTGGAGGTGGAATCAAGTACGTAGCACCTTTACTAATGACCACGGGGGTGTGCAGTTAGACCCCGACAATGCATGCTGCTCCTGTCTCCTGCGGCCCAGTTTGGGGTCAGTGAATGGGCATGCCTGTGCATGCTGGGAAGTGCGGTCAGGTCTGGGCTCAGTGAATGGGGCTGGCTTGCATGCTGCTCCTGTCTCGTGCTCACAGATCTGGGCTCAGTGAATAGGCAATGGCTTTTCCGCCATAGTTGAATCCATGGGGCTGTGTGTGGGCACTGTGATTCACTGATTTGTAAAGTGCAAGCTCTCACTGTTTGGACCCGATTGATATTGCATTAACGCCTTTGCACTGTATCGACCTGAGAAATCAGATAATATTTATATGCATATGATGTCAACTTCGAGGTGTTATATGAGCTGATTTGCATCATAAGAGCTGAAGTCATGTGATCTGGGCTGTGACGAGTGTCTTCTGAGAATGCAGGAGTAGGGCATCGTCCCAGAGGCAATCTGGCGTTGCTAAGAGTGACTCAGTCATTAAATGAGGATCACTTTACATGCGATTGAAACACAATGACCGAGTACCAAGTACATGATTTATTTACATATTTCCCTGGGAAAGATTTTTGTTCGTGTGCATGTTTGCATGCCTTCATCCTGTTTGGTCTCTTGATTATGTATGTATTTGTGTTTATTGGCTGTTGGGGTGGCTGTTTGGTCCTTGGACCTTGGCTGCTTGTGCATCATGGCTAAACACTGTGTGATGGTGTCTTACTCGAGTAGGGGGGGGGCAGCATGGACATTGCTGTCTTTAATCTGCACTTCCTCTGTGTGGTTCTGTGAACCGGTTTGTGCTGGAACATGGAGGCTGGCATTTCAGCATCACACCCAGTGTCTTGCGCTGCGTAAATAAGAGCTGTCTTTTTGAATGTTTTCGTATGAACGTTCTTCTGTTTTTGATCGAAAATGAACTCGTCCCGGCTTTAGAGCTGAGATGGACTCCCTGTAGGGGAAAATGTTCTCCCTCTAGCTCGAGCAGAGTGCAGCTTGTGCATGCTTGTGGGCACGTGCGTCGCACGGGTGTGCAGAAGGGTCGCCCCCCCGCCTGCAGACAAAACAGTGTGCTGAGTAACAGCTGATTTTTGCCTCGTCCAGACTGGGACTTGAGTGAGGACTCTCCTCCCCCGCTGCCTCTGAGAACCCCCGAGTCGTTCATTTTGGCATCAGGTGCGTTCTGCATGGACTCTTTATGTGATGTTCGCTCCACTGCCAAAAGAGGGCGCCAAAGCCAGCGTTTCAGCTTACCGTTTTATAAGTAAAAAAAAAAAAACAATACTGGTTTTTATTTTATTTTTCCAGTCTGAATGAAAGCCAATAAAAAGTAAATACCAAGACCTGTATTTATTATTTGACGTTATATCTGCAATTTCCTCTTACACATTCCAAGCTGGCCAGTTCTAAATGTCAGCTTTTGTTGACAGCTGCCTTGTGGCTGACCGACTTCTGCTGAGTGTACTGGTGATCTTAGAAGAGAAAAAAAAAGCCCTCCTTCTCTCATTGCTCTCTTTTTAAAAAGTGTTTATTTTTATTCACACTTAAAAGCGGTAGCAGCAAACCATTAAGCTCAAATGACTTAATATCTGATAGCAAATAAGCCATATGCATGTGCTTTAAGTACTTTTTTCCTAATTTGCAGAATTTCCACAAAACTCCAACAAGTTAAAGACAGTTATTTACATTTAAAAATTCTAGAGTATGCAGTTCAATCGTAAACTTGTGTAAATACACTATGTATGCCATATTGTAATCTTTACAAATCGTAACATCCTGTTTATGCCATAAGAATGCATGAAACCTGAGGTGTGTTTAGTCTGGTGTAATTGAAAAGAATAGCTCTGTGAATGGATGCATTATTGCTCTTGAGGGCTTGACACATACAGCATTGCTGAATGCTCTATTTAAGTGAAAGATGGGTCTCTGCATTCTTGTCTCTATCAGGGAGAGTGCAGTGTGTGGACAGATACCGTTTAGTGTTGAAGGGGATATGACAGCTGCCTTAGAAATGGCTCTCGCTGTTGGTCAACAGGCAATGAAAGGTGTTTTTTTTTCTTCCTAATTATTTTTTTTTTCAAACCAGTCTTGAATGCTTGGCCTACTGGATTCCTCCATGCCTCCCATAATTGAACAGTGTCCAGTTTTTGTCCTGCCCGACTCGTGGTGAAATGTCATGGCTCCGATTAGAATTTTGGTCACCCGTTTCAGAGCTCAGCCTGTTTAGGAATCTGTACCTCTGGGAGTCTTTTTGGCTGCATCTGTGGAATGATCAACATTTACATGCATGACAATTAGGGTTGGTAGGTGGGAGAGTGTCCAGCTTTCTGTAAAGGGACGCCCACCAACCTGTACCATGTCCTCAGATGACCCCGGTCCGAAGGCCTCCAGGTGTGGAAGCTCGGTGGAATGGGACGGTTCCCTGACCCTGCCTGGCCCAGAAACCAGGTCCTCTGAGGTGAGGTCGCGTGATCCAAGCCAATAGGGAAATATGAATGACATTGTACAGTCACATGTGAAGAGAAAATATCCTGACCATCTCCCCTTCTCTTCACAGGGCTCACGAGTGCCACAGAAAGTGAGGAATGGTATGTGGTTCCAGCTTGGAATCTTGATAAACCTACAATCACTGCATGTCATTCGGTCACTGCGGTCATATGACATAATCCGATATACTGCATATGGTTGGGTTACTGCTGACCTATCACTTCTTGGCTTAGACAATTTGACAGGGGAACAAGATGGGAGGAAGACTGGTGTGGATGGAGATGTACACCTTGCCAACACGGGGAGAACCGTGGGTGCAGCGATTTCGCCAGTAAGAGAGAGAGGTAAGTGACCTCCCCATTCCTTGTGCTATCCCTGTGACCATAACAAGGCTCAAAGGTCTTGCAGGTGACGGACTGCTGTCCCTCACTGTCATTCCGCTTGTCAGGACAGGTTTGCTTTGTGTTTTTGCGGTGTGCCTCTGAAGATCGCGTAGGAACATTCTGCCTATTGTCGCTGGCCATTGAGCGCTGAGATGTGGATAGTTGGAGTTGCAGGCAGTTCTGATGACTAATAACAAGTGCACTGCCTTCTGAGTCTGTTAGAAGCTGAGTTCTGTCATCAGGGTGCATTAGCTGAACCAATACAGATCCTTCAGACAGCAGTAAATCTCCTGTAGCAGTTTGGTCTGTGGCAAGGTGCACAATTGGATTCCACCTTCACCGTCAGATCTCTCTTTTTTTCTCTCTCTCTCTTTATCTTTTTTTTGCAGACATTAGCAACCGCTGCCCGAAACCCAAAGGCCCCCAGAACCCCCCCGCAGAATGGACATGATGACTGGAACCCCAAGCCTCCACATTTTCAAGTGCCACTGTATTAGGAGGAATGCGGTCTCTTAGATTCCATTCTGCAATCGCGTCCCTTTTCCTACTAACTGACGCCATCTCGAGCCACGTGTCGATCTTTCCCACAGTGCGACAGTCCATATCCTGCTGTACTTGTGCTGCTTGTCAGGGGTTTCCTACTCCGGTGCTAAGTCCAGACATCACTGAGACCACTAACCTGCCTTATTCTATTTTTACTTAAAGAACTACATGTGGACAATAATGCAGAATCCCCCCTCCCCCCTTCCATCACTCTTAGGCTTGTGTTAATCTGGTACAGTAAGATGTATTCATTGGGACGGCGGACTACTGTTTTTTCTGACTTCTTGATAGCTCTGTATGCATTTTGTAAGTGTACAGAGCAAGTAGGTATATAATTTGACATTCTGCTGTTGCTAAATAGTCTCATTAACAGAAGATGTAAAAATTCCTTGCATGATCAGGAACCCTTTGTATCTTTTACTGTAAATTATTCACCCTTCTGGTCTAGTGTGTTTGTTTTTTTATAAACTGCTGGATGTGCGGAGACAGTATGGGATCAAGATTGTAACAAATCGTTTTACATTTTCTTTTTGTAAATCGTCTGTTAAAGGTTATTTTTGTATAATGTGCTGGTTTTACCCCTTCGCTCCGTGCCCCCTGCCCCCTGCCCCCAACACTCTGCTGTACTGCTAGCCTTGGAGCCCACCGGTGCCTTTGGAGAATCCTGGGATTCCCGCTTTAAGCTCTGACGATCCCCCCCCCACCACAAAGACTTGCCCGTCATGACATGGGAACCAGTCAAGTCCTCCAGTAAAACAATGTTGGCAGCGGAGCTGGACTCCTGTGTGCTTTGTTCTGTTACTGTTCACCGGTTGCACTCGCAAGTGCCACAGAAACTGACAGCGTGCAGCTGACGTGTTTCAGTTCCGCATTGGCCCGCCTTATCCCAAGGGTTGGATGTTCCAGTCTAGCACCCCCCCCCCCCCAGTGTGTATTGTTTCTGCCCATGTTTTGGAAGCTCCATCCATTTGATAACCACCAGAAGAGCCATTTTATGCATGCTTGGGCTGAGATGGTGGTCTCCTTTCTGGGTCGTCGTTTTGCCTGGACTCTGGGGCCATTAGAATAGCTCTTAGTCTAGTCAGTGTAGAGGTGAAGTGATTACCTACTGGGACTGCAGGGGCTGCTTTGGAAAAGGGGAAAACATGCTCCTGTTTGGGGCAAGAATAGAATTCTAGCGAAATATTTCTGTGATCAGTATGTAGTAATTTTCTCTTTACTACTTAAATTCCACATTAGAGAAAAGCAGTGAATATATCAAACAAAGTTGAAACGTTTTACATTTTTTTGTAACAATTAGACAATCCTATTCATAGTCTTATTTTGTCACTGGGGAAAAATCCACTGTCTACTTCTCTATAGCTCCAGCAGCCTTGACCTGCCATTGGATCCATTTTTATGCTTCTGTTTAATAAACACAGACAGTGCATTGAATAAACTGATTCGGAGAGGTCTATCTAAACACATCAGCCCTCCACCTGACAAATTAATCGTTGAGACTGTCAGAGTGAAACTGTGAAACAGGTCAGCATTCTGCATAGTTACTGTTATCCGTAAGGGAATGTAAATAGGAAAAAATGGGTGATTAGGATATTAAAACACCACCAGTAGGTGGAGTTAATTGCCTGGTCCGGTTTGTATGTGCCACACTGAGATATACTGTATAAAACATTATTTGAATGGATCTATGAGACAAACTAAGTAACTTGTAAGAAGAATAGAGCTGTTTGTCACTCTTAACATTCATTGAATGCCGTTTGTAACTTTTTGAAATCCTTCACAAGAATTCATCGTCGTGACTCTGTTTTAGATGCTGTTATATGGTAGCAGCTACAGGGTTTGACACTAAACCAACATACTTGCCAAAGAAATGCCATTGCGGTGGATCATCTGTCTCATAATCTCTATTCCTACCTACCCACACAAAGGTCTTGGCTGGACTATTCCAGCAGGTGATTTGTCATCAACTTGTGGAATAATTGCAAATCAGAAACACTGGACACTCAATGATGCATCGGTAGCTGTTTGCCTGTGTTACACTGTGCAACTTGATATCTGCTATAAACATTTGAGACATCAATTTACATAAATTGGTAAAGTACAACAAACTCAGAGAACCAAGAAAACACATTTTTTCTATAAACCACTCATCATATTATGAAGTGGACTAAAATGTTACACAAAATAACCTACACTTCTGAAACAAAAAATAAAATGGACCTACTTCTGCTAAGTATGTTGTGTAATTATTTAATATTGAAAACGTATACAATTTATTTCCAACATATTTAGAATCTGAAAAACAACGGATGACATACATAATATATTATTAATATTATTTTTATGTAACCGTATATCGTTATAAAAGTCATAACTAGTTAAATAATTTTTGCTCTAGGCCAAAATTTCCTGTTTCACTACATATCTGCATATAACGTTACATTACTTGTCCCGTTCGTATTTACACGAAGCCGTAGCCTCGTCTTTCCCGCGTTCCGTGACACGTGAACGGCCCTCGCGCTCCGCCTTATGACGGGGTTTCGCTTGTCAATCATCCCGAGGCGCCGCCCCAAAGCCGCTCTGCCTGTCAATAACGGCGAGGCCCCGCCCCTTCCCTCTGCCTCTTACACAAACAGCACTAGAGGACGGGGAGAGTAAATAGAGAAAGCCCCAAGATGGCGGAGTCAGTGAGCTTCATTCACTTCGCAGCGGCGAATAAAAACCCACTCCCAAAGCCCAAGGAACATAAAGAAGCGGTAGAGGGTCGTCCGCAGTCGTCCCGCGACCATCACCCTCCACCCCCCAAGAAAGTTAGAAACGAGGAGAAGAGTCTTAAACCCAAGAAACTGAACGGGGAAGGCGGAGGAGCTGGAGGAGGCGGCACGGCGGATAAGCAACACCAGAAGCAGAGTTATGGCAGCCCGACAACATGGAGCATCGGTCCCATCAAGGCAAGCCACTCCACGGTGCCTATCCAGGCGCCCCGGCACAAGATTTTTAAGCAGAGCGATTTCCTCGCCCCCTACCCTAAGCTTAAGAAGCCCAAGGAGAAACGAGAAAAGGAAAAACTGAAGAAGAAACACAAACCTGTGTTGGAAATAAACAGTCTTTCCAGCTCTGGTGTAAAGAAGGAAAATGGAGAGGTGAAGTTGGTGCAGAAAGGTAACGGCAATGATTCGCAATAGGTCTGCAAATTACAAATAGAAAACAAGCATTTTGGTTATTTGTAAACTCGAGGTATGTTGCGCGATCGAGGCGATACTCGTGAATGTACTTGTCACACTCTTTCCGTTGCGGAATACTGAACATGTGGGCCATGCAGTAGCGGGCAGATAGATGTGGTTTATGTGGCGTGGACCCAGCACCAGGGTATTATTTGAGAGCGTCAACGTATATATTTATTTAGCATTATTTCCTGGCAGTGGCGGTGACATACATGATCATATATTTAACATGAAGTTCATGACCTTCGCCGGAACCGTCGCGACACGATGACTTAAATGTCTGCCCTGATTGACTCGTTTATCATTCGCTGCAAGTTTAATCGATGCGGTTTTATTATTCTGTGGCCGTTTTGTGCAATGACCAATAGCCCACTGGACCTCAGATTGCAGCAAATATTCATGGAAACATTTCTGTGTTGTGTGGGCGTATATGCTGTCTAGGATTTGTTTATCCACGCCTTTAAATTCAGTTCCTTATAGGGGCTTGTTAAGTTGTAGCGACAACTGAGCAATGCTCAATCGCAATGTCATTTCGATTTATTTATTTATTTCTTGTATACCACGCCCCCTAAATAACACCAGCTGCAGGAGTAAATTGCAACTACAGTCAGCCACGTGAAAAGACGGGCCTCCTGATTTTAATCCAACCACAGATGCTTTAAGTGCATTTCTTGTCTTATGAAGAAAAGCATTTCAGTTCTGATATTTGTCAAAAGCGCAGAATGTGATCTCAAGGCAAGTATTCAGAGTATCAGAGTGAAGCGTTCAAGAGCAAATTGTGATAAAAAATTTGCGTTGCTTAAACATTATTTTCATTATATTGTAAAGTAGCGGTTTTGGTGTGCTGTGGTATAAATATAGATGTAGTACTTGGCTTTCGAGTTGTGCAGTAACAGCATTTAAATTCATTTAGTCTTATCCTGCTTTATGAGAATATTGTTTTATAGTTACTTTTTTCCAAATAAAATGTATTATTCTGTAACCCAGACCAGGATAACAAGCTAGATGGATTGAAGGAATTTGCAGGACTTTGAATCTTTTACACAATATGAATTTTTGCATACACTTTTCACAGCATAATTGCCACGTGGGCACTTAAATTAATCAGATGTTATTGATTTTAATGGGGATGTACATGATCTTATTTTTTTCTGTTTCAGACCACAATGGCAGGGACAAAGAAAAAGAAAAGAAGAAGGAAAAGGAAAAAGATCGAGAGGAAAAGAAAAAACACAAAGTAATGAATGAGATTAAGAGGGAAAATGGAGAAATCAAATTGTTCCAGAAAGGTATGTCTTTTCATATCCCAGTCTTTTTTTCTGAACATGGCTTGGACCAAAATATTCCGTAGGTATTCTAAGAAATGTAGTTGTCATGGAGACTGATTCTCTGACGTCATTAAAAGTGTCTGTTCAGCTTTTTCATTGATTTCATTGGCTGGGACAAAGTTGTAGACCTACCTCACAGAAGATACGCCCAGTTCAATTTTTCCCACCATTACAATGGAAAATATTATTCTTCAAACCAATCTGTATTGGCTTTGCTATCAGACTGTTTTTTCTAAAATGGCTAAAAATCCATACTATATTCAATTTATTTTTCTGTAGCACCTTTCACAATAGTCACCCCAACGCGCTTCATATGGGTGCGTTGTGATACATTTCTGTATCCATATATTCTAAATGCACAGTAATCTGTTGTGAAGTAAATCTGTTCTGTGTAGTTCTATTTAAACAGTTTTAACTTTCAGTGCTATTATTTTTCTTGTGTTTGGAGATGTTTTATGAAATGACATGGAATTAGAATTCTGCCTGATGCAATTAAAGTTCTGGGATGAATTCCTTCAGACACCCAGCTTTTGGTGTTAATCAGTGCAAGCAGACTGGTTAGTTTTCAGTTTTCAATTGCCTTTTCACAATATTCAGATAGCAAAACATTAAAGCCTTGGTTTATTCTCTTATTAGTTTTTGCATTTGATTCTTTGTACAGTTTGTTCTTGGTAAATTAGGTTCTAATAGGGATGGGCAATTCAGGCAAAATTAGTAGTTGAATTTTGCTAGTCGTTATTCAAAAAGTATTCGAAGAACTCCGCCCCTACCACACACACATACATGGAGAAATATTTATTTGTTTTAATGCAAAATGAGATATAACTCGATGCTGAAAAAGTTTAAGATTGATTGGCTGGGAGAGCACATGCAGAGCGAACGCAGAAACAGTAGAGGTAAACTTCAGAACAAATAAACCACAAATAAATTAGAGAATGGATGAATCTCTACTAATTATATTGCTGCTAAACAATATTTAAAATAGTTAATTTATTATTTGATTTTAGGATCAATTTTTTTTTTTTTTTCTCAATTTTGGATACGTTTTGGAATGACTATCCGACAGTGGTGGGACCCTCACTAGGTCTTGTACGTGCATTTTGAGCTTTGGTGCAGGTAGGAAACAGCAGCTCTCCTGCAGGGAAATGTCACAGACCATGTGTCGTCAGAGGCTGAGAGGCAATATCCTTTTTCTCTCTCTTCCCGCTTCTGATGTTGATCTTTGCTGGACCGATCATCAAATTTACAAGTTGGGGACATTCGACTCAGTCATTTGTTTGAATATGAATGAATTTTTTTCTAAGAAGCCATACGTCTAAATATACATGTTACCTGTGAACCTGTAATCATTAAGCTCGCGTGTCACGGACGCGAGCATTTGTTAACGCCGTCTCTTCAGTCATAGCTGCTGATAACCTTTCTTGGTCATTCAAGTCGCCGTGCAAATCGGTCTCCCTCTATCGTGCAACACAAAAATCCACCTCAGATTTTAAGGTGACTCAAGATGCTGAGATTCGTGTTGAACCAGTGAAAAATGAATCGATCTACCTACAAACTAAAAGAATTACATTGAAATTAACAGTGCTGTTAGGATTAAATTATATATATAAACTGAATTTTGACAAATCACTCAAATTAAAAAAAAAAAAAAAAAAATGAGCCTTGGTGTGCAAACTACAGGCTTGTAGGAACAATAGTAGTTTTTTTAAAAAACAATTTAATAAAATTGCTGCGGGAAGAACCGTCTATAAAACCGGACCCTCACACTAAAAAGGCAACACAAAATATATTCAGTCACCTTAAGTAAGCTGCAAACTTGCCAAACAAGCAGAAATAATATAGCCTCATGTGATTACCTGTAAAAGAGCAACCCAGAAATAGACGAGCCCAGCGACGCTAAGAAATCCAGCCCAAATAATAAACATCATATGCAGGCATCGCTGATGAAATGTTCCTCTTGGAAAATGTCTCGTACACAGTTTTTGCAGATAGCTGATGTAGTCGTCTCGCATACTTAGCTTGGGCTCTGAAATTTGCTGATAAAGATAATTATGTTAAAGAATCAGTGTCAGTAGTTTTCCTTTAATATGCGGGAGATGTTCTATATTTACATTTTAATGGATTTGAAACCCCCTTCAAATCGGTGCTTTAAGTGTATCATTATGCCAAAATGGAAGAAATTTGAGATAAATCTTTTGAGCTAAATATTCTACCCGTGAGACTTTGATTCATTCCTTGACTGTTTGGCGGGAAGATATGAAGCCTCGTTTAACGTTTTCCCCAAACGGGCTTGAAGTTTACAGCTTGTAAGCTTCTGTTTTTGCCCTGAGGAAGACTCCCCGCTCTGCTACCCCCCCCCCGCAAGGCTGGCTGCAGCTAATTTTCTCGGCACGCTGCAGTCATTGGCGCTAAGGCGTTGTCAGCATACGGTAATAACGCTTCCATTAGGTTTGTGCTGTGGCCATATGCACCCACATGGCGTTGGCGTGCTCTGTGCCGCTCAGGTGAACTCCCGCTCCTGACTAAATGGCAAAAAACGGGACTGGTGGAGTTGACGGCGAGCTCATATGAGAGGATGTGAAGTCACCTAGAAGGCTTTGCCTTCCCCGGTGTAGTGATTCAAAGTGAAGTGCTTTTAGAGGGCTTGTAGAGGAGGCAATTATGGTGCTGCATAGCTATGTTGAAGCATCATTTGGCTTTCGATGACACGGTGCCGGTCCAGGACCCTGCTTTTCCCTGTGACGCATCTCACATGTGCCATTAGCCTAGTGTTGAGTTAGCCGGCCAGCTGCCCAATGACGAGTGAACCATTTAACCTGTAAAGGTTTTCCCAGTGTGACACAGTGGTTTGTGTCTTCTAGAGAAAGAATTCCGCTTCTGGGAAACCCTCGGGGCTGGTTTGCTAGAGGCCGCAGTTTGGCAGTGGGATGGAGGTTGGTGCGGCGCTGCGGCCGCATGGTATCGCTCGTATTGGTTATACAGTTAGTGCTCCTGCCGGCTTTCAGTGCTCTCTCTAATTAGAATAATTAGATGCTAATTAATGGCAAATGGAAAGTGTTGACTCCGTGCTGAACATATGCCGCGTGTGAAGTTTTCGAGCCCCGCTGTTTTTCTTTTCTTATGTTTTTTTGCGTGTTTGGCGCTGAGTGTTCTCTATGGCTTGCGGGTGACCTCTGACAGCGCCTCCCTGTGGACAGCGTTACGCCTTTGCCGAGTTAGCGGCCCACCACCCGCCCAGCAGGATTCGGTCACTGACATGTGGCCCTAACATTGGTTCCTTAATTCATGTGCATGTTCCTCATTGTGTGAGACACCTTGGCGTGTTTGTGTTTGTGCGCATGTTTTTGGTCGGTCGGTCCCTGCTCAGGTTCCACCCCCCAGCCACCGGGGGGGGCAAGCCGAGGTGCAGTGAAACGTGAGTGTGTCTCTCGGCACGTTTCACCCTCGTGCCGCTTGATCCAGACTTAGTGGAGGGAATGCACTCTTTGGACGCGTCTGTTTTAGACCCCGAAATGAGACGCACTCGTATTACGGCTTCCTGCCCTGTGTGCGCCCTGTGGGAGATCCGGCCTTCCAAACCTGGTGCTGGAAGGGTCTGTTATGCCAACATAACCTGAAAATACCTTGGTGCTCTAATATCTGCCAGTACGTGTGGGGTGGTGAGACGCTAAGGCTAATACAGTTGATATTGTTTCCCGAGGCATTCAAAGCTATATGCATATTCTGCCCCCTGGCACCTTGTTTGTTATAGTCTCTGCTATGAAGCCTCGTGTTTTCCGATGACATATATGTTAGTCTTCATTGTGCATCAGTCTAAGGATCTTGTGGAGGGAATGTTGCCCACCAGCCACCTCTGCCTCCTGGTGGTGCTTTTGAGCGTGGCAGCTCTGGCTTTTTGCTCGCGGCCCTCGTGAGCATCCCAAGCCGCCGGAAGCGCTCCCCGCGATTGTCCCATCAGCACTGTGTAAAATGCCACTTCTGAGCCGCTCGGGTCAGCAGAACAAGTGGGGCGGACTTATTTTTAGACCGTCCTAGCGACGGCTGCAGGGAGCTCCCACCAGGCGTGGTTTGTGGGAAAACTAACGTGGCTATGGAGTACGCAGGGCGGGCTCTACCGTTTCAGGGGCCCTAGGCAAAGCTTTGCATGGGAGGCCCCCATATCAAGGAAACTGGCGATTGTTTTGCTTCCTCTGCAATGCTAGTAATTTGGGAGCCTATAGGCAACTGCCTGTTTTCCCTGTAGCTAGATTCGGTATGTGATGTGTATCGGTATGTGATGTGTATCGGTATGTGATGTGTATCGGTATGTGATGTGTATATACTTTTATCCTGATCTTGTCTGGGCCCACTTGTGTCAATCAGCTGCCTAATTAGCTCATGCCTGGATCCGACCCTGGAAATATGTTAACGTTACAGCTTGCAGAGAGTAACGTGGCAGCTGTGTTTTGAATTGTACATTTCCGGAGGTAGGTTGTAGTGAAACAGCAGGGTGCCTCCGCTGGGGGTGGAGAGAATCCAGCCCAGATGGAGGAACAGGGGACGAGCGTGCATCCCCCCTGTGCTGCAGCAGCGGCGGTGGTGGTGGGGGGGGTCACTGTGCACCTTCATCTTGGTACTTTTACCTGCGTGAGTTTCCCTGGAACCCAGCTCAGGGAGGGCGGGGGGGTTAGGCTGCTGTGGGCTAAAGCATTTGCTGGGGATTAACATCACGTGAGAATGATGTAACCTGACAGGAAGTGGGTGGGATTTAAAAATAAAAAAGGGGATGCGACTGGTGTTGTGCATGTGTTAGTGACCTCACACTGGGTCTCCGTGTCGGATCGCGACTCTGTGTCGCTGGTCTGCGGAAATGACCCCAGGGCACCGTCCCCCCACCGCCAGTTTAAGTGTTACCCCCCCCCCCCCACCATTTGGTCTGTGATGTTTCTAGGAACCCTGCTTCCTCTAGCTGTGGGGCCTTGCTCTGTCATTTCGTAGGTATCAGAAACGCCCCTGTTTGCTGTGATCAGGCAGGCTTGCTGTTAAACGTTATGAATATTCATTTTCTCCTCCCCAGCTGTCAGGCGGTCTCGCAGCCCGTGTTGCCTCCGCTCCTTCAAAACGCGGCTCGCTCTCTCGTCGCCCCCGGCACCCGCCCTGCCCCAGTTTGTTTTTTCGCCTGCAGCGACTCTGATTACGCTTCTCCGTCGTTTGTGGTTTTCCTGTCGGCCTTCTGATGTAGCTGTGGGTTATAATTCCGGCTGGTGGATGTCGTTCTGCGGCGTGACACGTCTGCGTCTTTCGGACTCGTAAATAATGATTTAATAACTGCCAGTTTTTTTTTTTCTCTCAGAATGAATCACTTTTTTATCTGACACTTACTGCATATTGTGGGATTTTTACTTTTCTTTGCTAATGACAGGGGGGTTTTGTCTCGTCAGAATCTGAGATCACACACACACATACATGGTAACTTAGACATGCTCTTTATTTAACATTCTAGCTTTTGTTACCTTTGTGAGTGTTTTGTCTTGTTTTTTTCCCTCCAAAATTAGTCCTATAACTGGTGGTAGTTTTTGTGTGTTTAGAATATTTGTTCTCCTTAAATACTGATTCGTTAGAGCATTATTTTTCAGTTCCACCTGTCCCCCCACCCATTCCACAACAGGAAAATTCCATGACCCTCAGGGCGGCTTGAAGAGGTAGTGTAAGGCGAACCCATTGCATGGTGGGAGGGACATGGGGTGATATTCATCTCTCCCCGTGTTCGTGTTACTCCGGCAAATTAGTGGAGGCCCTCCGTGTCAGATTGGCGAGCCAGGCCGCGTAAAACAAAACCGCTTACGGCTGCCCGTTCCACCTTCATGTAAAACCATAAAACTGTCATTACGCTCCGTCTCGGTGCTGCATTCCTGCACAGTCGAAAGCTGAATCTGAATCAGTTCCCCAAATGCTATTGCTTTGCATCCGCTGCCAAGTTCTGAGGAAAAAAAAAAAAATCTGACGATCTCCCGGTTTAATTTGAGGTGAATTTCAGGGCAAGTTAAACATGGTTTGAAAGCGTCTTTCCTGGTCAGAATTTCCTCACAATATTAAAAACACTGTCAGCGCTGTGTGTTATATGCATATTCTCAAGAATAATTGTCTTAGAGTAATATGTTGTAGAGTAAAATTTTTATACAGCATTGTGCAGTTTTCAGTAAATCAGTATTTATTTCAGTATTGAGTGCAGTTTCAGTATTTCAGTGTTAGTGTCTTTAACACAACCTGAGCTTCTCTATGAAAGGACTCTGCTAAAGTCTAATGTTGTTAGTTGGTTACAATTTCAGTGTGAGAAATGTGTAGGATCTTTTTTAAAATGTGTTTTTATTGCTTTTAGTGGAGAAGATGAGACCAAAAATAAACTCTGAAGAGCTCCTGATGAAGAAGATGAAGAAGAAAAAGAAAAAGAAACACAAAGAAGGGGAGAAACGCAGGAGGCCCAGGATGCACAGCAGGTCGTGTCAGACCACTTGCTCGGGGCTGGTGACTAGCAAAGTGGTGACACCTCCCCTGATGCTCCACCAGGGCGGCGCTGTTAAGGAGGAGAAGGACTGCCGTGGGCAGCCGGGGGCACCAGGCACTGAGGGCCTGGAGTTCGCCCGACTGGTGCACGTGGAGCGGCAGCCCAACGGCGGAGCTTTGGTGGCCCATGCCTACAGCGAGGAGCTGGCCCTCCTGTCCCCTGCGGAGGCACAGCGCTTTGCCCAGGAGTTTGTCACGCTGGCCTTCAGCGAGAACGAGGCTGGCGCCGCGCACTTCGTCATGAGCATCGTGCATGGGGCCGCCTCCTACCTTCCCGACTTCCTAGAGTACTTCTCCCTCAAGTTCCCCAACTCGCCCGTCAAGATGGAGATCCTGGGGAAGAAGGATATCGAGACGACCACGATGTCAAACTTCCATGCTCAGGTGGGGGCATGGGGGCGTGTCTGTCACTGTTATCACTGTAATATCACTGTTAACTTCAAAAATAATCTCCTCAACTGATTATTTCTCAAACCAAGAACAACATACTTCAGTGGCCTAAGTTGTTATTTTTCTTGCTCTGTTGAAATTGGTTGTTTGGAGTGGAATTATTTTGGGACAGTTTTGAGATTATTTATGTTTTTTTTTTCTCTCTCTATTTGGATGCAGTTGTTTGACTAAATTATGTGGGCTTAAGTATTTCCCAGCTGCTTCTGGTTTCTGAGCAGAGTTCCATCACGATAAGCTGCATCGTAATGAGGGCTGATGATGTATTGCTTTGGTAATGGCTTCGTAATGGTTTGGTAATGGGGTTGCACGAGTTCAGCTCAGCCAGTTGTAACTATTTGGAGCTTCTGATGAGCAGAGTCAAAAATGCTGAATGTACGAATAAGTGGGCTGTGAGCTGCACTGATCGGCGTCAGAGATGCTAGCTGGACTATACAGTCGGTCACTGTGTTGGGGCTGTCCTGCGTCGATAGTGACGTGACCTCGGCAGATTGCTGGCTAAGCACTGTTCTGTCCTTTGAAGAGCAACTTTCATTTTCATTTTTATTACTCTCAAAGATGCTTAAATACTCTCTACAGAAATTCTCAGACACACTTTGTCTGGAAGTAAGATTTTGGTAAATTTAATAAGTCTGTTTTATTTTGATACCACATACAGTTTTTTGAGCTATAGCTATTGGGGTACCTCGCTTTCTTTTTCACAGCGCTTTCCATTGTTGATTGTGAGATTTTGCTACAAATCCTACTGAAAAATTATCATTCAAAAAAAGGTTCATTTTTTTGTCAAGCTTTATTTAGCATGGGTTAGAGTTAGGGTTAGGGTTATCTTTTTTTTTTTTTTTTTTTAGGCTTCTAACAACAAGGCATATGTTGGCAAAAATATCCTTTATTTTTCTGAACAAAAGTTATTTAAATGTGACATTTCTGCACAGAGAAATTATAAGCTAAATCTGAAGTGTTCTGGGCCAGTTTTTGTGTGCTTAGCTGCCAGTGCGGCTAAGGCGAGTAAAAGCCTATAATTTAGCTGCTCTTGTTCAATGTTCGTAAAATGCAGAGTATTGTTATATGGAGCAGCCCCATGATCCCTCGTCGATCCTCATATGAAGCATCGAGCACTTTGCAACAGAGTTCAACACGAGTGAAATCATCTCCGCAAAAAAAAAAAACTAAAAAACTAAAAAATTTGCTGTAGGCTTCCTGCCGCCTCGGCTGGTTAGGAAGGATTGGCATGCGTGTGCAGTCTGAGTCAGGCAGGTGCAGTGACGCTTTGCAGTTTTTCTTCTGCTTAATGCTGAATGCGGTTCCCATGACAGCTCCAGTGGTGCTTTAAATGCGACCCCTTTAGGCCGTAGAGATGAAACAGCGAAGGCCTTTCTCCTCTCCCCTTGTCGGGTCTTCGCAGGCTGTGTGAGTGCCATCCTAAAGTGTAGATTAATTGTGAATGGTAAAGGATGTGTCCCTTAATGTAATGTGAGAGTACCCATGTATGTTTTGTGGGGCATGGGGATTGGGCCTTAGTCCTTATCGATGTTGAACCCAGACCTACACGCTTGGCTGTCCCACTGGGTGAAAATTATTTTCCCTCCATTACACATTCAACAAATGCCTTTAGACTGGATCCCACTCCCCCGATATATGTGATTTATTTATTTTTTCCTCCTCTGTTTCCGGCTGGGTGAGGAAGGTGGGAAGAGCCTGGGGGGTTAACATGGCATGTCCTCCGCTGGCCGCAGTTCTGAAGTGTCTGTGGAATCATGGCGGGGCTAGCGTGGGAGGCTGGTCTCTCTGGAACGCCAACACAGCTGTGGATCACATTCTATGGGGAAGCTTTTATTTGGGAACTGATTCCCTGCATGTTAAATGGTGTGTATAGTGCAGCAGGGGGATACCTGGAGTTGATGCAGTGTGCTTCATTGGTTGGCAGTTCTGTAGTGATTTATAATTACTTGAACCTGGGGTAAAATGCAGTCTTGCATTTAGAATACGTTTATTTACTTAGGTTTGTCCAAAACGACGGGCAGGTGAGAAAGTTTTGGGTCAGTGAACAGGGTCAGCCTGTATCCAGAGCTCTGGAGCAGTGAGGGGTTAGAAAGCCTTGCTCAAGGGCCTAACAGTGATATTACTCTGCCGACCACTGGATTCAAACCCACAACCTTCTGAATACATATACCGATCCTCATAATGCATGCATTTGTCTTTGTGGAGTATTCTTTGCAGAAGTTTCTGAACAGAAGGTTGCAGGTTTATGTCTCAGTAAAGAAAACTGCTCTGTCGGTGCTTTGTTGAATTTCCAGCTGTCCTGATCAAGTGTAAAACCTGGTTTCCTGTTCTGGCAGTGTGGGATGGACACTCTATCATCCTGGGCCAGCTTGGAGTAAGGTCGGGTGCCTGGGACGTTGACGGGGGTGGGGGGAGCACGTTGGCTCGGTGCTGAAAGGCCCCCACTGAGGCCTGGCGAGAATGCAGCATATTCAGCTCTCTGGTAAACAGCACACTGGCAGCTGGGAGGTAGCAGAGACCTGGCCGCTTGCTTGGTGGGGGTGGGGACGGTGACTGTGTGAGGGGGTGGCAGATGGCCAGTGAATGTTTTTGTTGTCGGGGGTGTTCTGGTCCCTCAACTCTCCACCGTCACTCCCATAAAGCTATCCCTGCCCCCCCTTCCCGATCAGGGTTTTCATTATTGTCCGGTGGCCTTTATTTTCCACTTTACGAGCACGCCGTTCCTTTAAGAACAGGCCCTGAACTCCAGTGGTGATGACGCCGGACCTCTGCTTCCCGCAGATGTGAGCCATCCGCTCAGCCCCCTGTCATCGGCTGGCCCCTGTGTGCCGCATAGACCCGCCCTGTCACAGAAATATTCTTGCTGTTATTTATTTCTTATTGTGTGTTCCACGTTTCTGTTTATCCAGACCCGTATAAGAACCTGATTCCTGAGATACCCTCACCATGGGTATACAAACCCTGCTCTGGACAATAACTGTAATTGTTTGTGATTAAATTCTTTTTATTTAGTTTATGCTTATAATGGTGCCTTTTATTCATATCCGTTTTATGACATACCTGTATATTTTACTGAGGCAGTTTGTTTAGTATTTTTTTTTTGTTATGACAGTAGTGGTGCACTGATATTGAAATTTTGACCGATACAGATAACTGATATATTTTCATTTAATATCGCCAATAGCGTAAAGGGCTAATCTCTGAGGTGGGGGTGAAACTTGGCAGCGCCAATGAGTGAAATGATGTATTTTTATTCTGTGGAAAACAAATGATCGATTTGCGTGCCAGATATTGAAAATATATTGAAAACATTTCGCAGGCTGGTAGTTCGAGATGTGAGTGAGCCGACGAGATCCCTTGTCTTCCACTATGGAAAATGACTGTTTGTACAATGTGGTCTTCGCCATTGTTTTAGTAGTGATGTCTTTACCTTTTGGTACAGCTAATTGATAAAGTTTAAATATCAGCTGGTAATTTCAGCCAAGATTGACATATTGGACCAATACTGCTATCTTGATTAATGAATATCGACCAGTACCGATATGGTAACTGATATGTTGTGCATCTCTATTTAACAGGATGGTCTTTGGAGTCCTAGAAGTCATGCTGCATGATTTAGTGGGTGTATTTCTACAGTGTGACTGTGGCCAAAAAGTGTGTGTGTGTGTGTGTGGAGGGTGGATTCTTGTTTAATAAATTTGAAAAAGCAGCCATTGTTTCTGCTGCAGCTGTAGATCTAACTCTGCTCAGACCTTGTGAAAAATGTGCTACAAGCATGGAAGGACCTGGAAATTCCCTCTTTGCCATCACGTCATTTGTGGGGTGAGTTGTAGCTCCGCCTCCTGTGCCCAGGCTCCTCCCACTGCCCGGGAGGAGTGCTGCTGGCCTTCCCTCTCCTGTGCTACTCAGGGTTTCACCCAGGTCTTTTAAGTGTACCGAGGCAGTTTGTCACCTGTACTGACCCAGCGCTTTGTGGTTTCACGCCCCAGCCGGAGGGTTGCTGGATCCCTGTGGTAACGTGACCCCCATTTAAACACCGGGTGCAGTGACACCATGCGAGGTTATCCTTATCACCAACCCTCCCCCACACGCACACACACACACACACACACACACACACCTCTGAGATCCACAGTGACGGAGAATTTTGCAGATTTTTTGTGGGCTTCCCTTTGAGCCTGTTGCTCCATCCCCGAGGGTTTGAATTATTGTACTTTTTGGTTGATGAGACTGGATTCAGGGTGACCGATGGCGGGGCAGTTTTACTGTAGCGCGACAGGCCTCCGCCCGCTCTTAAATCAGGTGCTCCAGGCCGTGTCCCCGGCTGACAGGAAGCACATTTTCACTTCCCAAACCCCTGCGTCTTGATTTCCTGTGGGGCTGCGCTGCTCTGGGCCTGCAGGCATTATTCTGAAGTTCACAGTTCTTTTAGGTTCTGACAACACCCCTGAAACATTCCCACTGTCCTCTGTGGCTGTGTGTGTGTGTGTGTGTGTGTGTGTGTGTGTACGCATTTGTGAGTGCATTTGCAGCGTGGCATTCCTGTTTGCCCTGAGTAACCCTGGAATGCCATGCTTTTTATTTTATTTTATTGTATTCTCCCTTTCAGGTGTCATTGGCCAGTTGTTCTGTTCAGTGTGTGTGTGGTCCAGGTATACATTACATTGTGGGGACATTTGGTGATTTTGATGTTGTGGGGACCATTTTTTTGGTCTTCACAAGGGGAAATTAAATTTTGATAAAATTTTGATACTATGAAAAACAAAAAATGCCAAAAGTCTTGAATTTTGTTTGGTTACTTATGGCTAAGGTTAGCGCTTGGTGGGGGTTAAGGTTGTCATTGGTGGGATTTGCCCATAGAAATTAATGGACAGTCCCCTAAAATTGTGTGTGTGTGTGTGATGTGACCACACAGCAGTTTAGTGTTGTCCCATGTCCCACAGCCCACTTGCCTTTCTAGGGGATTGTGGGATTCCTGTCTGGCCCCGTTTGTAAGCACCGGCCCGACACTGTTATTAGTGGCCCCCTTTGCGCAGATTCTTTCTCCTGTTTTTATTTTTAAAGCGTATTATTATTTTTGGACTGGCTGGAGGGAGAGAAACTCAAAAAGAGGCGACGGCCCCAGGAGTCCCATGGCGGCGAGGCAGAGTCTCTGACCTTCAGCATGTAAAAAGTGCCAAACCTGTCCTTCTGGTTCCGCACGGTTACTGTACTTTGAATGGCTTTGCTGCAGGCTCTCTCGCTCTCTCACTCTCTCGCTCTCTCGCTAGCTGTCAGCAGTATATTACACTTCGGATCCCAAACCCTCATGCAAATGCATATCAGATACTGTACCGTGTGGGCTTGTGTTTACATGCTTTTTCAGAACCTCAAAGGCTGACTTGCTGACAGGAATGTGCTGAGGCCTCGCTGCCAGAAACGCTGTGAGATTTAGCGAAACCAATTGGGAGAAAAATGCATTTCTGTAAACACACATCACTGGCATGTAGTGTCGTCATGTGACCTGTAAATTAATATTTAAAGGCCCAGTTCCAGAAAATGAACATGGGTTAGGCAGCGGTGTTTCCATTTGTTCAGGTGTTAACCTTTACCGGCAGTCGGTTTTGTAGGTCTGCGAGAGCTTCATTGTTTTAAAGCTGCGTGTTTGGTCAGCTGATCTGAGGAGGTGCTTCTTTCAGACGTGACAATGGGCTGTCGCTGGTCTTAGGCGGGCAGCCCCGGTGCATGATGGGATGTTGGCAGAAGCTGCTTACATTTTATGAGCAGAACTCCGGAGTCACGTTGAGGAAGTATGGGGTGGGGGAGCCTTCTGGAAGCATTATGGTTGTGAGCCAGCTTTCAGTTTGGGGCACCTGGCTTCTGAATGGCACTGACTTTGTACCAGAGTGGTTTAGCTGGCTGAGCAACTGAATCTGAAGGAAGGAATCTGAAGCTACTGCTACTCAGGAAGGGTAGTCTCTGAGGCCGGTTCCGTCGTCATGGGTACTGCTTGAGTTGATGTAGTGATTCTCTTAAACGAGTGACATCACACCTGCAGTTAACCTTCTGTGGTTGCAGCACAATAGACACTGCTTCCACATATCAACATGTGTAACATGCAGGACACAGTACGATTATACAGTGCTCACAACGTCTTCTGGCGTTTGCTTAATTCTGTTAAAATGTGGCAAATGTGTTTTTATGTTATTGCAGAGGTGTTACTAATTAAAAAGTACCCAATGAGACTGCTTGCCAGTGAACATTTTAACTTTCAACAGCTCCTTTTCAATATAATTTGAGTTTTACTCAAATATAATACTACTAATTAATGTTTTAATTAATACTACTGCTTGTTTCTAATGTGATAGATATATATTTGTAAACAAATGAATAGAGTAATGATTTTTGTTATAAAACCAATACATTTACAATATTTTTCCTGAACTAAGCAAGTGTCCCAGCTCTGTGGGCACTGTATGTAGACCGTTATTGCTGCATTCGGTCATTGCATGCAGGTCTGTGTTAAATTGGGGCATGTTTATCCAGATCATTTGGGGTCTGGTCTGTTACCTCCTGGCTGCTGTGTAGATGAAGTGTCTCAGGAATGGATTAGCTGGCTAGCAGGGTGTCTGCTCTGGATTGTTTCAGGAAAGTAATCATTTGGATAGTGAGTTGCTTCCTCTATTACATTAGGTTTAGTAATTAGAATGTAATTGGACGCAGCTCTCCAAGACCGGACTTGACAACAGCCGAGTCAGCATAATTGGTGCACTAGTGCTGCAGTCTTCTGAACCTGCTTCAGCTCTGCATTACTGGAGTGGGAACCTTCTGTCAGAAGCATGATCCCTGCAGGTCGCTCTCGGCGTGACTGAACGTGACAGCAGGACATGGCTGACCTGCGTTCCTGTCTGTCTGTCCGCTTCCAGGTAAAGAGGACCTACTCCCATGGGACATACCGCGCTGGGGCCATGCGACAGATCAGCCTGGTGGGCGCCGTGGACGAGGAGGTGGGCGACTATTTCCCAGAATTCCTCAGCCTGCTGGAAGAGTCACCCTTTCTCCAAGTAAGTGTGCATGTTCAATGCATGTATAAAAAAACAGCTATTATAATCTATGGTAAGCCTTATTTACTGGAAACTTCGAATATTACCGCCAGAACGTTTAATTTATGTATGTTGAGCATCCAGTTAATCAGGTGCCCCTTACCACAACCACCTTCCCCGAAACTGTCTGCGGCAGCGTCACGTGGCCAGGGGGCGCTATTTAAAGTAGGTTGGCAGTTCTTCTGGGACTGCGCTGCGTGCCGTTCAGTGGGGGAACAGGCACGGGAAAGGATTTAAGCGACTCGAAACAGGCTAGCTGGGAAATGTCACCCTGGTGGACGGCAGGATTGGGCCGACATCCCTGCGGTCCAGGCGGTTCTGTCTGTTTTCAGCACAAAATGGGCCAAATTTTTTTTAAATGTATTTTTGGTTAGTTTATTAGTTATCGTGGGTTTGTGAGATGACCTCCCCACAGGAATAGGTTAGTTTGAGTTTTGGAATGAATCTCTTGAAACGATCTAAGTGCAACTTTGTTCACTCTGTATTTCGCTGTTCAGCACTTCTGAGTTCTGTGAAATAGACAGTGGTCCATTAGTCAATCTCCATGACACATAGTGATTGACAGCTCCGGTGGCCAATCGGCTGTGGCTGTAGATCACTGTCAGTGTCGGTGTCTGTGCTTTCCGCAATTTGGGCTGGTTTAAACCTAATTGGCTGGCCGGCTGCCTGTCTGTCCCCCTTATTCATCATGCTCCGCCTCTTTCCCTGTCCAGCGCACACTGCCCTGGGGCACTTTCTCCAGCCTGAGGCTACGCAGCCCCACAGAGAGCGACGACGGCCCCATCATGTGGGTGCGGCCAGGGGAGCAAATGATCCCTGTCGCCGACATGCCAAAGTCCCCCTTCAAGAGGAAAAGGTAGGTGGCGCTGGTGGGCGTGTCTGCGAGGGGCTCTGTCAGGCAGGGAGGGGGCTCTCCCCGTGACGTCCATTTCTTGTCCTGTAGAGGCAAAGTGCGGCAGGAGAGAATAATAATTTGGGTCAAAAACGGAAAGAATGTGTTTTAATCAAGTGCGTAAATGGAACAAAGATTTGCATACTCCCGCTCGGCCCAAAGGAACAGGGAGGTGACATCACGTTCTCTCAGTGCGCCTCTCATGAAGAAGCCTTTCCACTTACCGTACGAGGGGGTGAATCTGAGAGGTGCCATGAGTTATTTTTATAAACGCACACCTGTGATATGAGCATAGCGGCAATATTTAGAATGTGTGAGCCTCCTCATTAAAAAGACAAATGACACCTGAAAGCCACGCAAAATACAGTCCAGTGGGGGAAACTATATATACACATCGATGTGGCTGTGTGTGGAACTTTTTAATCCCTATTATTTTTAATTTCAGTCAGTGTTTTTTTTTTTTTTTTTTAAATATCGCAGCTTTTTTAAGAGCTCCAGCCTATTTGAAAGGCCTCTGATGTCGGGCGGAATCTGGTTCTTGGTTTGTTCTTTGATATGACATGGTTTGTCCTATATATGAGTGGGGGGGGGGGGGTGTTGCCTTTCCTCTGTATCAGTGAGCAAATGTCATGCTGTGAACCCCTGTACCCATTTGAGCTGCTGATCTGGGTTCTGTATTTAATATTAATTCATAGATCACGGTTACTTTTTCCATTGTGCCGATGCCCGGTGTACGTTTGCGGATGGAGTCTAATTTTACTCCTGGCCGCCTTAAGGTGTATCTGGTGTATCTATTGAGGTTCCGGCCGCCTGTTCTCCTTAGGCTCTCACTGGGGATTAGTATCCAGAACTCGATAACGTGGGAGTGTGCAGATAAGATACCGGAGACGCCGCTGACTTTGCGCCAAAAGGCAGCACCGCGGTAACCTGTGACCATCACTCTGCACAGTATGGGGGTTTCTGGGATGTTCTGTAGCGTTTGCGGACGACGTGCGTAGGTAAAACCTCACTGGTTCTGCGATGACTATCGCTCTTGGCATGTTCTGCTTTGGGTGGGGGGGGGGGTTCCCCTCCGTTTCTTTGAAAATAATTGAAATGCTAAACAAAAATGAATGGAAATTACTGGCTAATTGGTTCGAGCAATTATTAAATGAATGCACTTGACTTTTTTTAAAGGAAATGTATCACAATTTTGTAGAATATTTGTTTTATTATTGGTTAAAATGATGCGTAACCAAATGTGTCTGGCGTAGTGGTTTATTTTAAGAATAATTTATCCCGACTTTCACAGGGTCGGTGGTTTGAGTCCCACTCTGCGTGCGTGGTGTTTGCATGCCCTGTCTCTGCTCTGGTTTCTCCCGGCAGTTCAAGGACAGGTGAACTGGCAGCTCTAAATGTCCTATAGTGTGCGAGTGTGTGCATATGTGTGTGCACACCCTGCACTGGAATTCCTTCCGGGGTGTTCTCCTGCCTCATGCTCAGTTATATAGCTGGGATAGGCTCCAAACTTCTCGATGAATATGCACCATAGACGGATGATCGGACGCATCATCTATATTAGTGATAAATGTTCAAAGGGTTTTGTGTCTGAACAGCCCGACTCTGAGGCAAGAGGGTCTCCTAGTGGTTAAGAATACAAGCCTGAAGGTTGTCAGTTCAAGTCCCATCTGTGACTCTGGAGTGTTGGTCTTAAGTACTTCAGCTGATTTTTCTGTATAATATCTGTAAATGGATTAGTACTCTGGGCAAAAGATCACTTGTAGAATAAAATTGTAAATATTCAGAGCTTACGGAGCGGTTCTTATGATAAGTATATATTTTCTGGCCACGGCATTGGTTTTGTGCCCTCGAACCTGTGAGCACAGGACTCAACCTGATTTTGCCAAAGTGCCCCATCTGCACGCAGCAATAGCCCTCCTCCGAGCCAAGATGGCTGCCTGTGCGAGTGTGTCTCTCAGCTGCCCCCTCAGGAGGTTGGGTGGAGCAGGATAGGCCCTGGATTAGATCCCGGGTAGGATAGAAAACCTACTGGATGTTAGCTCTCCAGGACCGGAGTTGGAGACCCCTGTGCTAGACAGTAACATCCATGACGTTGCTGTCATGGCAGGCGTGCGCCTTGCCTTCCAGGTGCCAGTTTGGTGTTTCTCACAAGCTGTCAAGCAGCATGTCTGAGCAGTTGAGAACCATTTTGGGTTGTTCTTCCTGGCGGTTCGGACGTTCCAGCTGCGCCCTTGTCATTGAGCCCCCTCCCCCCCTACACCTCCCCCCCAAAGGTCAACCAATGAAATCAAGAATCTGCAGTACCTACCTCGGACCAGCGAGCCACGCGAAATGCTCTTTGAGGACCGGACCCGCGCCCACGCCGACCACGTCGGGCAGGGCTTTGAGCGGCAGACCACGGCAGCGGTGGGCGTGCTGAAGGCCGTGCACTGCGGGCAGAGGTGGGTTTGCCTATGCACTCGCGCACACACTAGGGGTGGGCGGTACACCGCTGTCATAGTCATTACCGGTGTGATTGTGCGCCACGATATGGATTTGCACCATACCGATGACACCATGAGTCTACAGCCCACCCCTATTATACAACAGCCTATTTATAAAAAATAAAGCATTTTATTTTCTTCAAAGCTTTAGTTGTAATCTGAATACTTATCTTCATATAGTATATGTAACCGGTTTATCTGCATTGTGTGATTTTTCTGTTACACACTTTGAGGGGGTGTAGCGATAGCAAATTAGCAATTCAGAATGAACAGATCTTCTGTAATTACACAACAAAATAACCTGGTTACATATATATAGTAGCAAATTAAAGTAAAGCATATTCGCTAAATCAGCATATATATGCGCTGCATCCTTCATGCAAGGTGCATGATAAAAGGCACAACTACCCAGTTAACACTAGAACCACCCCTTTCCCGTACCAATGAGCATCAAACTCCTTTAACCTCCAAGCTAGACGTACTTCGGCGTATGCAGCCCTTTTGTTTGCACTAATGTGCCATTAGTGTTAATGACAGCAGCGAATCGAATACCCCCAACCAAAAAGCCGTAATGTTCCTAACAGAGGGGCTGCTCTGTCCATGAAATCATAAAGCTTAAAAGTTTTTTCAAACGCAGTATGTATTTTATAAAATGTTCGATAAATAGACGTGGTTTATTGGTGACTTCATGTTCGTCAAAGTTTACGTTATTTAACAATTGTATAAAGTTATTTTTTTTATACAATTCAACTCAGGTGAAACAAAAACGTACGTTTTCAGCATTTCAAAATAAGAGAAAATAATGTGAAAATTGTGCATGTTTAAATAAAGTGCTTAACTTGAGCTGTAAAACCCTAATACAGTCGTGTCTGTCATATATTTTAGTGTTCATGGATTGGATGGTTTTCTATAATCCCACACCGGTAATAAAATTAAAGTTTTAACATAAATGCATACGAACTTATCACTTTAATTGCTGTTAGAGTAGGATATGGACGGTCTTATTATTTCGAAAAGATGTAGAACGTGACATGTTTTTCTCATATTCGTTTTATTTTTCTGGGAGTAACAACGCGAACCGAATGACAAGCCGTTTCAGGCGAAAACAGTGCATTTTACTTTTTATTTCAGATAAAACGCGGCGTTGCCAACTTTGGCCAAAATAATATCACGATTTAATACAGTCACCATGCAAAAAGTGAAAAATACCGTGATAAGTTTAGGTGGTATCGCCTGCCCCCCCCTCGCACACACACAGTCCACATATTCATATCTTTATGGGGACTTTGCATTCATTTAGGGTATAACCGTAATCCCAACTATGATGACCTTATCCCCTACCCAGCCCTAACCTTAAGTAACCTAACCATAGGTAATCAAACAAAATAAGACTTATGGCATGTTGTATTTTTCTAATTGCATTCACAGATTTTTATAATAATGGGGTTATCCTGATGGGGACTGAAAAAAATGTCCCCAAAAGGTAAAAAGTTAAAGGTTTTTAGCACATTGTGGGGAAATTTGGTCCCCACAATGTAATAAATATGAGAACACACACACACACACACACACTCTGCGGATTTCCATGCTCATGCTGTATCTGATTCCGAACTCTGCCGTATGGGACCAGTGCTGACAATATGCACGCTAATTTAAAAAATCCCCCGAAAGGTAAACGTAAACATGTACAGCATACAAAGACACACACAGTTTCCAGGTTAATCTCCACTAATGAAACACATCTGTCTTACATGGAAATATCCTGAAGCATCAAGGGGATGAAACGCAGACTTTCCGCTTTGCCGTCTTCCTGCATGTTGTGATGCTCCCTCCGGCGATGGCCTCCTTGGCCAGGCTGGGAGGAGGTGCCGTGCTGCCTTCTCGCTGCGTCGCTTGGTGAAGGCGCTCCTCTCGCTCCGTGCCGGATGCTGCTCTGACTGTAACATGTCGGCCAAATGCCTTGTTTACCTAGTGTGAGGAAGGCAGCTTCTCCATGCGGCCCAAATTATTGCCAGTCTCTATGGTGCGGGAAGCTGCAGCATCCCGTCAAGGTCTCAGCGAGGGCATAAAGCTCGGGAGTTGGATGGGTGTGTGGCTGACGATCTGGCCTTGTCTCCGCAGTGCGGATCCCCCGCGGATAACCAAAGACGTGATCTGCTTCCACGCTGGAGACTTTCAGGATGTGGTACAGAGACTGCAGCTGGACCTGCACGAGCCTCCCCTCTCTCAGGTGGGTCTGGTTGAGCTACCTGGCTCATTGAGGAGGTAGCATGATGTTGGAGTCTGCCCTGTATGGTATGTGTGTAAGTGCCCTGCGATGGACTGGCATCCCATCTTAGATAGGCTCTTAGATAGGAGTGAGCGAGCGGTGGATGGATGGATGGATGGAGCGAGCGAGCGGTGGATGGATGGAGCGAGCGAGCGGTGGATGGATGGAGCGAGCGGTGGATGGATGGATGGAGCGGTGGGTGGATGGATGGAGCCAGAGAGCGGTGGGTGGATGGATGGAGCCAGAGAGCGGTGGGTGGTTGGATGGAGCGAGCGAGCGGTGGGTGGATGGATAGATGGAGCGAGCGATCGGTGGGTGGATGGATGGAGCGAGCGATCGGTGGGTGGATGGATGGAGCGAGCGAGCGGTGGATGGATGGATGGAGGGAGCGAGCGGTAGATGATGGATGGAGCGAGTTGTGGATGGATGGATGTTGATGCGAGTTGTGGATGGATGGATGTTGAAGCGAGTTGTGGATGGATGGATGTTGAAGCGAGTTGTGGATGGATGGATGTTGAAGCGAGTTGTGGATGGATGATGGATGGAGCGAGTTGTAGATGGATGGATGGAGCGAGCGAGCAGTGGATGGATGGATGGAGCGAGTCGTGGCTGACTGAAGAGGATTAGTTCCCCGGTGCCCCTGGTGGCTCCTCTGGCTGAGGAGTGGTGCTGTTCCACTCCTGTCCGCTGCATGAGCAGCTCTTAGTCACAGCTTTGTGTTTGCGTGGGAGATGCGGCCCTGCGGCGTGACGCTCTCTCCTACCCCCCACCCCCACCCCCCAGTGCATACAGTGGGTGGATGATGCCAAGCTGAACCAGCTCCGACGGGAAGGTATCCGCTACGCCCGCATCCAGCTGTATGACGACGACATCTACTACATCCCCCGCGGCGTGGTGCACCAGTTCAAGACAGTGTCGTCTGTCTGCAGCCTGGCCTGGCACATCCGCTTGAAACAGTACCACCGCAAGGCAGAGGATGGGCCCCAGGACTGCCCACAGCCACCTGACCCCGCCCACTCCCCTGCTGACATCACCAGCCATGGACACTCCTCCTTCACCCACATCAAATCAGAACCTGTGGACTCGCCTCTGGCCCCCCCACCAGAGAATGAGCCCAAACCTCCCGATCCCCCAAAGTCTGGGACTGCTTTAAACAAGCCCCACGCCAGCACTCCCCAGAGGTGGAGCGAGAAGCAGAGGGACATAGCATACCCAAAGCCCCCAGTCATCCCCCAGGACACACGGCCCCCCACCTCTTTAAAACATACCCTGCATGAGCAGCATAAAGAGTTTTTATACTGATTTTTGTACCAGAGATTAACCCCCCACACACACACACACACACAAAATGGACCAGTGGTATGTTATATGGGTTTGTGAGTCCGGTGGGGCAAACATCAGTCTGTTGCCATGTGGAGATGTGGAGCACAGGTAGCTAGACACATTCCTCGGGGCCTCTCTCCAAGCACTTCGAGCTGACTGCCTCAGCAAGCAAACAGCTCCTCACATAATCTATTTTTTAAGTTGTAGGATCTTATAGTTGCCATAAGTACCAGTTTTGGTTTTTTTATGACAATTCTTTTAACGACCCCTTCACCCTCCATAGAGTTTATTTATATTAATTTTTTGTTCAATTTTAAATGTCAGCACTGTAGTGTAAATATTTTTTTGAAATTGTAGTGTGATTTATACCTAAATTTGAACCTCCTAATAAAGGTTCGAAACATTGGGGCGTTTTTCCATTTAAACAGGTGACATGGAGCCCCTCTACGCAGGATTTGATTGGACAGAGAGGTAGGTCACATGACCGAAGAACTTGTCCTGAATGCAGCAAACAGTGAATAATGTATGTAATGTATGTAAATAATTGGAAGATGGGCATTTATACCATAATATTTTGTTTGCATATATGTATTTATATATGTATAATTTACATGAAATGTAGATCCATAGCACTTTGACGGGTAGGGGAAGCTCGTGGTTCAAGTTTGATTGGACAGGAGATCTTTCTGCATTTAGCACAGTATGCAGAGCAAACTGACAGGAGATTGTTTTAAGTCCTTGTACTATTCAGCTTTTTATAGTGGAGTTGACACTGGTTTTAATGGTGTGTTCTGTGAAGAGGAGGGCTAACTGGAGCTTAGCTTATGTAAGATGTCCAACGTTACCTGGTGGACTCAAAGGTGGCGTGACAGCATGCAGCGTCTTTTCACACAGACCATCTGCTGTGGTATACACTTGGCTCACTAGTGCCTCCTGGTGTTGAAAGCAAGTCTGTGACCACGTACTGTCTGCAGGCGGCTCCCCGGAAGAGTGAGGGAGTGGGGAAGCTCGTGCTCATGTTCCAAAGACTGTGCTGTTGAAAATCTGTGTAAAATCTAGCCCGCTTCCATCTGTACGCCCTTACCACTTCACCCATAACTTTTTTTTACTGATCAAATGTCAAGCGTCAATTTTTTCTCCCTTTGTTTTATAAAAGTGAGAGTTGAAGAGACCTTTTCATTTTATTTTAAGAAAACGCACATTTATTTAGTTCTCTTTTCTCTGCTTCTAGAAGCTGTGTTTATCCCATTTTGGTTGATGCTGACCATTAGGAAGTTCACTCCTTGACTATAAAGCCATCAGTAACATCTAGTCTCGCGCGCGCGTGCACACACACACACACACGCAGTGGTTGCTGCTAAGTTGATATACTGAAATACCACTAAGTATTATCACTTATATCCACATGGTTGCATGTATGGACAAGCTCACCCTGTTCTAGGCAGTCGGTCTTTGCCTGAGAGAGCGTCACTGAACAAAAATGGCTTACCAGGTCAACAACGAAGACATTTATTTACAAATGTCCTCATGACGTAACCTCCGCCGGCGCTGTGGCTGTTGTATCTGATGTGCTGTTTCAGACCTAGCTGCAGATCGCTGGGACCTGCTACAAAACCTAGAGTCAGCAAAGCCCCCTGACGGGACGCGAGCAGGAGCCCAGCATGTTTGCCTTGGAATGTCGGCCGAGAGCGGAACGCTAAACCGCAGGACCCTGCCTGTCAGGGCTGCTGCCGACTGGTAGCTGTTCGTTATCAAGACCCTCAGATTCTTCTCATTTGATACGACAGAAAAATAAACATTTTCGTTGTGTAAGGGAAAACATTTCACTCACGAAGCGTGCTAGTTTGGAACATGAACTAAAGGGAAAATTAGTTGAACAGTGAAATTTAGAGTTAAAGTAATATTGTGAGCGTATGTTCAGCACCCTTACAAGGAAATTAAGGCCACCTACATATGGGCCCAGTTTGACAATTAAAATATATGTTTTCCCATATTTATTTCAGAAAGGTAATTTTGTACAGCAACACAACAGCAACAAATTACGTTCTAAGTCCTCTACAGCGCACTCAATCTAAAGACGTGCGGCATGTGTGTTCAATACTGCCATCTACTGAAACATGCGGGGAGTATGTGTGTTGGAAAATGTCGGATGGAATACACAGTATTTGTAGAACTTCCGATTTTATTCAAACAATACAAACCACAAAAATCTAAATTCTTCAAGTATGAAATTTCTGTCATCACAATCAATACCAAACTACACACTGAATACAGACCAAATGATGATAGATCATTTGTGGGGAACAGAAATCAGTTGTCTTTAAAGTAAAACAAAAATATATACACTACACCCAGTATAAAATTGCTCAGTACTGAAGGAGAAATCCTTTAAAGACAAACGTTTAACGAGGACTCATTACCAACCGATGCATTCAGTCTGGATGAGAAGTTAAGAATGGCTGCAGGTTGGAGAATTGTGTAAACCTGGTCCGGGAAGTCTTACATACTCGCAATACATACCATTGTTTTACTTAAAGGATTCCTCAAGTAAATGGACATGACCAATTTAGGATGGGAGTCCATCTGAGCAACCTTACTGTCTACAATGTCCAGTCAGTGCACTTAAAATGACCTCCTGCACATTGCATACAGACCCAACGAGCCTGAAAGGGTGACCCCCCTCACATTGTCCGAAGTAGAGATGCCAGCTGAGGGTTGCAGGCCAAACAGAATCACATCTGCTACTGGTATAAATTAAAGACTTAGTCCCTTCGGTCAGGGAAGATGTTGTAACCCAACTCCGCCATAGCCCCCAAGAGCAGGACCCAGAGCGGGATGCAGACGAAGGTGACCTTGATGTCTGCCAGCCGCTCCAGCCGAGCACAGAGCGCCAGGCAGAAAGCCAGCTTCAGCAACACCGCCACCAGATACCAGGATTTCTTCCGAAGGTCCTGGGGACCATCACGGGGTTCGTGACCCGATTTACAGCGACCAGCCATCTTGACGACCAGCATGATGACAAGGATCACATCAAAGACCCAAACGGGGAGGAAGACCAGGAACCAGTTCCATCGGATCTTGTCGTCCAGCTTGAGAACAAGCATGATGAGAAAGACCAGGGTAAAGATCCACGTGAGAAGCACTCTCTGCGCTAGAGACATTGTCACTCAATGCTGGGCTGGAGGGAACAACCATGAAAACAACAGTTAACACACTGGTTTTTAATCTGGCAAAATGTCCACTCCCATTTGGTCAATGAATCTTTAAAATCACAATTATTTGCCCTGTATGGTATGCGTGTAAGTGCACCATCGTCTGTGATGGAAATGGCAAAAAATTCAATATATTCAGTACCTACGCGGATACCTGTTCAGTCACAGACAAAGCAGGCTGCGAATGACTCGATTTATGAAGACATGCACACTTTTTAACGCTTTCGATACGCACACAAGTACATATAACCATACAGTTAGAGTTGGTTTCTTAACTATAGCTTGCTACTACTAACAGCATTGTATCAGTAGAAACCATTTGCTAACCAAATCTTACTAGTCAGCTATACAAAATCGATAGGAATTACACTAGATGCTATTTAAAATTAGCTAATTCAAATTTATGTTTAGCGAATCAATGCAATGTCGAGGTCTAACTATGCTTAGATTACTACTCATACGTATTTACTTGCCTCACTTGGATGAGTCGTCGATTTAGCAAAACAGTCCAGCTAGTTATGAGTTAGTCTGTAAAATGCGTACATTTTCAGATTATCACATTTTCAATCCAACCCGTTTCTTTTATATATATAAAAAGAAATGTTAACGTTAACGGAGTGTCTTTGGCATGTTTAATTTCCTGTTATTCTCACGCCCACCAGCCATTGATATTCATTCTCTAATCCCATTGGATAGCAGGTTGCTGGGACATCATGGTTGGGTCAAATACTTGTCAGTCACATACGCCACAGTCGTGATTTGATATTCTGTCATTTCTCGGGGCAAAGGTCTTTACCGTAAACAACGTAAAACATGTAATCGTAAAAATAACGAGCAATTCTTATATAGGCTACATTTTTACGAATTTTTTCATAACATCCACGGAAACATCTGGCAGAATATTAGACAGCTCTTATATGTTCTGAATATGCGCTGTGGGTCCCCGATTAGTAGTATTGTTGCATTGCACCTTCAAGGTTAGAGGTTCGAATCCCGTATTAGAGCAGTATGAGATTGCTCTGGCAATCCGCATTTATTGGCTATTGTGTTATTTCCTGCCTTGCGCCCTGTATTGTCTGGGGTAGACTATCTTGGATAGTGGTTTGAAATCTGGATGAATAGACATACTCTTACATAATGTTTTTATCTTACAAAAGAAGCCACGTGTATTTATTAAGCAGGGTCAGTCCCTGGAGCAATCAGCGGTTAAGGGCCTTGCTCATTGGTCCAAAAATGAAATAATTTAATTGGCATGGTGTTTAACTCGCTGAGCCACACAGACAAGCTGACGTAGGTGTAATTATATGTTAAGAATGGACTACATTTTATAGCCTGATTCCAAAATTAACCCTGCCCTCTAACATTAAAATCGGCACCACCTTCCTCTCGCTTTCACGACTGCATTGCAGTTCTGGAGTCTGTACAGACTAAAATAATTCCAACATAAATATGTTTATTCAATAAATTCAAATTTTTAGACCGCTTTATGGACCTGAAGTGCAGAGGACCTATCGAGACATTTGCACATTTCTGCTGATTCAGAAAGAAATACTACGCTTCAGCTACACAGATTTGAAGTGGGTGAACACAGGCTAAGATTAGTTATGGTACTACGACTACCCCATTCATAGGCATCCTTCAGACATTTTCACCGTGAACTATATCCTTCTTTCAATTGGCAAATCTAAGGAAAATTCCAAAAGTCATGTAGAATTACGTTATAGACATACAAACAAACAGATAGAAAGGATAGATTAATTAAAAACCAAGAATTAAGCTCCAACTGGAGGATCACCCCGGCCTGCGCACTACGGAACATGAACACTAATTTCCCCCGCTTCCTCCAGCACACACCACAAAATATGAAACAGACTTAACAAAAAAATCCTAATTTATCCTTACTTTCAATACACCTATTGTGAAAATTACCAATCTCATCATACGGCCCTGATATTCCCCATCGTCTATTCAGTCATTGCATACAACCTTTCCATGTCTTTGCAACAAGACTAAAGCTCGGTATTTTATGGCATATTATGAGAAGACGGCATTTGCGGTACATGTAATTCCAGGGCGCTCTCGATAGAGGTCACCAGAGTAACATATTACTGTACTCCGCCGTATATAGAACCGTAGAAACACAGTACAAGGAATTTTATTTACAAAGATTTTTTACTGCGGAATAGCGTAGTATTGCCGTTTCAATATGGTCTCTTATAAGCATGTTACGACACCTTGTTCCAGTGCATCATTATGAAATAATATTGATATTTATTTTTCCGACGCCTGTAATTTTGTTATATTATTTTGAAATTCATGGCTTCCTGACTGAGTATTTGAAGATTTTTGCATTGAAATAAGAATAGTTTGCTGTATGTGTACACTAGCCTACTACTCATGGAAAGTTACGTTTGAAAATGCTTAATGTACGTAGAAGTACTGTCACAGTTGACCAGTTTATTACCCAGTAATGTGACACAGACATCCTTTCATGAAAACATGTATAAATAACGACAATCGCGTAGATTTAATATGTGAAATAGCATGCATATGGGAAGACCATAAATTTTTCTTCCGATTTTCTTTGTGAAAATCAGCAAGGCTGCCCTCTCAATATAATAAAACGAACTGTAAAGGTATAAATAAACCTGGCAACTGTCATATATGCTTAAAATGTATTTTTCCGTTAGTAATAGGCCTATGAGAATTAGCCATAATCGGCAGTTACCGAAAACTCAGGGAAGGAGCCAACTATTCCGAATACTGTAACCTATATACTAAGAAAATCTTCCTTACATTATTGGCGACCAGATACACTACGCGAAGACTTTCGTTTAAAAAATATGCGGTTAGGTGAACGGCTGTGCGCCTTTATACAAATCATGTCGGCAAGGAGCAGGAACGGAGCGGCGAACTGATTGGAGGTCAGCGGGAGACGGAGCGCGGAGCCGCGCCGGCTGACGCGCTACTGTAACATTTCACATTAATGTCGAAGAACGGCATCAAGACATTATCGTCCGTGAATGCCGGTGTGACGACCATGCAGACGGAACCCAGCAGAGGTAAAAATCACCGAATCCCGTGCATTAACCAGCAATGTAATGAACCGGTTATTATTTGGCTATTGTTAGTCAGGTAATTAAAGCGGCTTTCGTGTTTTTGGCCACTGTACCATGTGAAAGCATGCATTTTTTTTCTGCCGGTATAACCATATATAAAATTGCTAACCGTTGGCTTTTTCATTAGTAATATTTATACTTTTTCATCCCAAATTGCTTCTCCATAGAGTGTAAGTCAGTGAAAAGCGCAGATTTTAGACGAGGTAATTAAATTACCAAGTAAAACCGCATAACAGGCTGTAAGGGTAATAGGGTTGCAGGATGAGGCAAGTATGGATCGTCACTATTAGCTTAGCTTCTTAGCCAAATATACTTTATTCGTGAAAGCATCATAAAATAAATATTATATACTCTGTTACATGATGCCACTTCATCTTTAATGCATATACAGCACTATAGCCGAACTACTTTGAAAAGCGAATTAGATGATACATATTTGTGTTCTGAATGTGGAGTTTAACTGTACTAAATCCTTATTTATCGTTCTACACATTGGATTTTAACTTGAAACCTTCCTTCACTTAGGTTTTAAAATGCAAATGTCGCTTTAAGGGTTTATTCATTAAGGTATCTTATATTTGTGTATCTCCGGAGTGTGCTTATATTTTAGGCATACATTGATAACAATAACCTGGATTAATTATAACCGATCCACTCATATATTTGTAAACTTAGTAGCGATTTTTAACACATTGTGTACACATTCCTTAACGATCTCACTCCCCAAAGCCGATGGTTATAAAAGTGCTTCCTTTTATCTATCCTGATAACAGGCATTTAGCCTAATGAAGTTAATGGGTTGCCTCGGAAGCCAAAAGCGAATCTGAAAGCCCTTCGGTCCAGGACGTTTGGTAGTTGTTGTCACCTTAATCTCTGCCTTGCTGTGATGTGAGCAAAGGCTTCTCCACCACCCCTCATCCCTATCAGCTGTCTTTTCCCCGGACTAACATGGTCTTTGTACTTGTCTTGGCAAATGTCTCCTTCTTTGGGTAAAACAGGGGAGGGGGATGCTGCACCAGCAGCCTTAAATCTCAGTCGTGTCACTAATATTGGTGCTTCCCAAAGTGGTTTTTCTGCCTGTTGCCAGAACTGAGGGAGAAGCAGATCTGGACGGTTCACTGGGATATACACTAGAGTCAAACCGGACCAGTTTACGTAGTTGACAGCTATCTGTAAGTTCATTCTCTGTGTATTGCACTAGGGAGACTCTCCTCTAATCAAGCCGAAGGATACAATACCCTGACTGTCTAACATTTTTGTAAATGTGTGACCACAAGAACTTCTCTGTTGCTCTGCAGCAGTGGATGCTAGAGTGTTAACGATTCATTACCTCCATGTGGTGGCCAGTAGTTCATTGTTTTTCTGCACCACTCCTTTGGTGTAAATGAGCGAGTGCAGAACGTGCATCTGTTTTGTCTGGCTGTAAACTACACGTGGGTTTTGTTGGTGTGGGAATTACATGTGGAATACATCGCACCTCTTCTGACAGTACAGCTTCTCTTACCCTGATTCCGAATTTAATGGTATATATTGTTGTCTAGGCTGGCCCCCCATCCAGGGTTGTTCCCTGCCTCGTGCCCGTTGCTTCCGGGATAGGCTCCGGACCCCCCGCGACCCAGTAGGATAAGCGGGTTGGACAGTGGATGGATGGATGGATATTGTTGTCTACAGTGTACATGTGGTTATGTAATGTGAGGAATGGTCCAGTTAAGGCAGATTCTGTGTATGTATGAGCATTGCCAGTCTAATCCATTCAAATTTATTTGTTGATATACAAATTGATATGCAGATGAGGAAGGCTTAGGGTTTAGGTTCTGTCTGTAGAGTCAGGCAGAGTCTAGTGTCTCTGGAGTAAAGGACAGAATAGTATTTGAGTATCCTGGCCATGGTGCTTCTCTCACCCTAATCAGTGATCTTATGCATAACCTTATAGATCTTATGCATAATCTACTTGTGTTTGTTTTCTCTGAGAGCTGCAGCTTAGCCTGTTCTCCTGTCAGTCAGCTGTTGGATTTTCTCACCTTACGGACATTTGTTCTCATTCGTAACACCACCATGAACTTTTGTTCCTGCATTTTGTTCCTCCATTGTTGCCAGATGCCAAGTCCTTCTTCGTGCCACAAGAAAATCACATAATCCTGGGAAACAGGTGATTTTGCTTTCCAGACAGGATTTGGTCTAGACCAGGGAAATGTTTTCTTATATTTTAAAAGGATGCCACTTAGCTGTTAAATTGCCCAGCTGAACCAGTCATATAAAAGGAGTTTTTACAGAACATGAAGGTCTCTGTCGTGATTAGAAGGGCTTAGAGGTGTTTCTGCCATGTTCCGAGTCCCGGTTTGGGATTTGTGTGGGAGTATGTGATCGATGCACTTTCTAGCCCACCCGCTAAAATTGCTGAGTCAGCTTTTGACTGGAGACCTCCTCTGCTCCACAGCACTGTCTGGCCGCGCTCCAGCTCGTCAGCCGCAACACTCCTCTCTATCTTCCACAAATTCATCCCCTATTCTGCCTCCCCAAGTCTGCAGCCCCCCACAGGCTGGAAGGTGGCCGTCTACCACTTAGCAATAGCTGTTGCTCAAGAGAGCAATCAACGTGACAGACGTCACACGAGGGAAAATCTTGTTCAAGAGTGATTTGCGGTCGAGAATAGCTTTTACGGTCTTGCCGCAGTCCGACCGCTGCATTGCACTGCATGTGTGCTGTTTCCGTGTCCTCCATCTGTGGTGACAAGCGGCATGCTTCATTGCTGCACAAGTCTGGACTAGAGTCTGCAAATCTGGACGACAGAGATTAAGGATTCATTTGTTAAACAACTTTGTGCAAATGCACAACATGTCCGCCATATGGGAGTTGGAGTCGGCCACTGGAGGGGAGGCACGCGTGGGCAGGAGGCAGCAGGAGGTGGCGTGGCAGGAGGCCTGGTGCCTTCTCGAGCGGGACGCTAGGCTCACGGCTCTCCGGATTGAGGCCACACCGCTGCTCTTCATGGCTCCCCGTAGGTCCCCCTGACTACCCATAATCCCTTGTATTATGAAGCTAATTAGCTGGCTGCTTTAAATCACGCCCCCTTACACTGAGTCATAAATGTCAGGTTATTTCCTATGTTTGCTTCCCTGTAGTGGTAGTTCAGGGTTGTGCATCCATCCATCCATCAATTCATTTTCTACACCCAATTTTCTATTCACGTTGGGAGCCCATCCTGCAAGCAGTTGGCACAAGGCGGGGAATGACACCGGACAGGAGGCCGGCCCATCGCAAGTGCTGTATTTATACAGCATTTAAAAATGCCTTTTACCATGATGCTCTTCATGTTCGTTTAGATGGCCGCATGTTCATTTTGGATGGCCGCATGTTCGTTTTGATTGGAACATTTCCTGTAATACAAAAATCAACATTTATTTTAGCAAAACAAGACATTCATCATGGAGGACAGTTGGCATCATCATCATGTTCCCAGTGTGTTAAGTGTATGTAATTTTTTTTTTATCGTTGATGCAGTTCCGTGAAGTGTGACATCATGCAGCAGCTGGTGCCTGATTTACAGCTGAAATCCTAGATGCAGTACCCTAGTATCCAAATAATTCCTTTGCTAGAGCAAAAAAAAAAAAAAAAACTGGTACACTTTGCTCAGCCCTTCTGGATCGCGGTTGCTGACCTCAGACGCAATGGGCTCATGTAGTGTAGGTCGTGTGAGCTGAGAGGTCGTGTTTAATCTGCCCTCCAGGACCCGTGGAGCTGAAAATAAAATCTGGCGGCAATCAATTTGCATCTAGATCCAGTCATTTCCATGTGCCCAACGTCCGCATCCCTGTGAAGGAGAAACAGGAGACCTGGCCTACAAATGATAAGGGCAGCAGTGGAAGAAGTGTGTTATCTGTGTAGAGGCAGGCTGGAATATAAGCAGATGGCAGCCGCAGACAGGAAGCTGGCCTTTGCTTTTAATTTTTAAACGCGTGAAGTCATTCTGGTGAGAATGACATGTACAGCAAAGGTGTGATTATGTTCTCTACTTATATACTACAATAAATGAAATTCGTCTGAGATAGGAGGGAAGATGGATGGTTGGCATTGAGCTATAACGATTAGCCTTAAAAAAATCCCCTTTCATGAGTCCAGGAGCACAGTTTGTTTCTCTGACACAGTTCGTTTGTCCATCCCAAATCCAGATGGGAACTGTTCCCCTTTAGTGGTGGTTGTTCACAGTCGTCCACTCCTTTTGTTAACTATCATATTGGTTTCACCTGTTGTTTTTGAGTACTTTACTCATTGCTTTTTAAATCAGTCTTCCAGCTATGAAAGTAGATGAAAATCTCTCCATCCATCCATCCATCCATCCATCCATCTAATTATCTAGTTCAGGGTCAGAGTCATGGATGAAGGTGTTTAAAAAGGCACATGGAAGCACTCTGCTCTCTAACACCAAAAACAGCAGTACACTGTCCTAAGCTCTGTTTCTGCTCTATATGTTTATCCAGACTGGTCCCCAGAAGGTCCAAAGCTCAGCATGAGGCTCCAGGCCTCATTGCTATAATCAGCTAAGATTGTTTGGTGTATGTTTTGCTTCCATCAGCAATATATGTGACATTTTTCAGTGTCCCACTTACCGTATCACAAGGTCTGTCTCCACCATGTACTATACCCTTAATGTCGGAACCTTTTCAACTGATTGGTCAGCAGACCACATATTCTTGCTCAGGAAATAATTACTGCATCACCCTTTTTTTGTGAACTAGTCAGAGTTCCAGCAGTTGTACCTTCAGCTGTTCTTACAGCTTCAGCTGTTACATTCCACATACATCACATTAGTTAAAAAAATGATTAATGAACCGGACACAAAGTGATTAGTGAGGGGGCTGCATCCTTCGGTCTTCAGGCACTTTGGCGGTTCTGATATAAAAAGCGGAAGAAAGGACTCAGAGGACACTATCAGCTTCACCAGT